ACCGACGCCTAGGACATCCGGGAGACGAAAAACAACGAAACGTACATAAAGTACTACTAGGAGTCCCGGAGCTTTCGACGTTAAATAAGTCTTACGAGACTTGTATTACTACGAAGTCCGATAGACGACAAAGTCGAGAAGAACCCGAAAAGGCAGACTATTGCCTAGATAGGGTATATATCGATTTTTAGGGTCCGTATAAGTATAGTACCTTAGGAGGAAACAGGTATATACTAACGATTACGGACGACGCTACGAGACGGTTAGATATCCGTCTTACTCGCTATAGAAGCGACGTATACGAAGCCTTTAAGGCTTAGAAAAACGAGGCCGAACTCGAAACCGGGAGGAAACTAAAGGCCGTAAGAATCGATAACGCTCCGGAGCTTATTAAAGCTCTTAAGGCCTATCCGGGACTACGAATCGAAACAACGACGCCCTATACTCCGGAACAAAACGGAGTAGCAGAGAGACAAAACCGTACTATTATAACTAAGGTACGGGCAGCTTTAGAAGGGTCCGGATTACCTAAACGATTTTGGGGCGAAGCGGCCTATACGGTTACCTATTTACATAATAGGCTACCTATTAAAGGAAAAGATATAACTCCCGAGGAGCTCTATACCGGAAGAAAGCCTAGCGGAGAATACTTACGGGTATTCGGCTGCCTAGCCTATCCGTTTATTCCTAAAGAGAAAAGGAAAGACAAGCTAGAAAAGACGGTATTCCCGGGAATCTTCGTCGGATATACGAAGTCTACGAAACAGTATAGGATCTATAATCCTAAGACGGACGCTATCGGGATCTATACTAGCGTTAAATTCGACGAATCGACTAAGGGAAGTAGCCTACTATCCGGAGAAGAGCTACCTACCCTACGGCCTATTATAGACAACGACGACGGAGATATCGATATCCTAGATAAAGGAGAGTCTCGAGAAGTAGAGGAAGTAGAGGGAGACTCCGAAGCCGAAGATAATACTACGAAACCGCAAAACGAAGAAGACGGTTTAAATAAAAACGACGACGAAAGGTCTACTACTCCTACGGCTTCTACTACTACGGATTTAAACGAAGGGGAACTACGAAGGTCTACGAGGGTCCCTAAAGCACCTAAGAGACTAAGGGACGAAATAGGGCTAGCAGCTCTAAAAGTCGACTATCGAAAGGCTTTCGAAATACCTACCCCTAAGACCTATACGGAGGCTATTACCGGCCCTTACTCCCGATAGTAGAAAGACGCTATTAAAGAACACATCGAGTCCTTAACGGCTAACAATACCTACGAGATTGTCGACTATCCTAAGCCGAAGGACGGAAAAGGGCAAATAAACGTTATTACTCCGAAATGGGTTTTTAAAGTAAAAATACTACCGAACGGACAAATCGATAAATTTAAGGCGAGATTAGTAGGAAAGGGCTTTACGCAACGCTACGGAATCGATTACTTTGAGACGTTTTCTCCGGTAATACGTCTCGAAAGCCTACGCCTTCTCCTAGCTATCGCCGCTAGTAAAGGACTTGCTATATTCCAAATGGACGTAGTAAGTGCCTACCTACTAGGAGAACTAACGGAGGAAGTCTACCTAGCTATCCCGGAAGGCCTAGATGTTCCCGGAACTAATAAAGTACTTAAACTCCTAAAAGGAGTACCGGGACTAAAACAATCCGGACGAGTTTGGAATAAGACTATTACGGCCTTCTTTAAAGAATACGACCTCTACGCTATACCCGCGGATCAATCGGTCTTCGTTAATAGCGACTATACGCTAATAGTCGCGTTGTACGTCGACGATCTTATTATACTAGCGAAGACAGAGGCGGAGGTTAAACCGCTAAAGGACGGGCTTATACAGAGGTTCGAAATGAAGGATCTAGGTCCCGCTAAGTTTATACTAGGCGTACGAATCGAGAGAGAGGCCGACGGATCTATACTACTAGATCAAAGGCACTATATCGAAAATACGCTTAGAGAAGAGGGCTTAGATCTAGACGAAACCTTCCGAGTATCGACTCCGGCAAACGGATATACGAATTTACTACCTATAACAAAGGACGAGGAGGTAGTAGACGTCCGGAGATACTAACGACTTATCGGAAAACTAAATTAGACCGTACGAGCTACGAGGCCGGATATATCTTTTCTAACGCAGAGACTAAGCCAATCTACGGTAAATCCGGCTAGGAGACACTACGACGGAGGTATCTACGGCCTTAGATACCTAGGGAACACTCGGGACTACTATATAAAGTATAGTCCTATCCCGAAGAACGAAAACAATACGAGTACTCTAGTTACTCGTCTACCGGTTATCTATACCGATTCGGATTACGCGGCGGACTTAACTAGGAAGTCAACGATGGGATATATATCCCTACTAGCCGGAGGACCTATACAGGACGATTAAGCGAGATAGCGGACGGGGGTAATCCCCGTAAACGGCAGCTAGCTTGAAAGCGTTAGACGTTAACTTTTTAAAGGTACGGATAATTCCTTTAGGCAGTACGCTAGCTTTGACTAGTTAGATCCCGTTTTTAGGGATTACCGCCGTCCGCCATCTCGCTTAATCGGGGTGTATCTTGGTCTACTAAACTACAAAGGTCCGTAACGACTAGTACTACGGAAGCCGAATACTTAGCGCTATCCTACGCCGCAAAAGAAGCTATTTGGATCCGAAATTTCCTCGAGCAAGTCGGATACCTTACGGAAGACGACTATAAAGAACCTACGATTATCTACGGGGACAATAAGGCGGCTATCGCTTTAGTACGAAATCCGGAATTTCATTCTAGAACGAAACATATCGACGTAGCGGCACATTACGTACGGGAACTAGTCGAGGACAAGCTAGTCGATATAAAGTACATTCCGACAAAGGACCAACTCGCGGACTTCCTTACTAAGCCCCTAACAAAAGGGAAGTTCGAAGAAAACGTAAAAAGAGTCCTAGGGACAATAAAACGATTAAGAAGGATTAGGACTTAGCTATTTGGTTTACGGCTAAATAGCTAAGTAGAGGGAGTGTTAGAATACTCGGGAATGTACGAGTCTAGTTAGATTTATAAGCAAGAGAAGGAGAAGGAAGTTGCGAGGTCATTCACTTACGGCTTAGTAATAGCTTGTGATTCTTAGCGCTAGGGTATATAAGTAGCTAGTGAGTCCTTTGTTCGAATAGCAAGCAATTCTATCGGTTTACCGCTTATCTACAATAGCCATGTTCGGCGGCTAGACAGGCAGTGTGGTCCAACCAGCTTATTCCCACGGGACACTGCCCATCAAAAGCGGGTGAATGCGACAATCCTAGAGACCGTGCTGTGCCGGGCGCATTGCAATTTGATGTCATGCATATTTGGCTATCTGAGTGGCTGGTCAAAGGATGGCCGCTACTCCACAAGATTGCAAGCACGGGTCTGGCTCAGGTCCTTGTCGAAGCACTATGCTTTTCGAGTTATGGTGCAAACCGAGCGAATTTGAGATTGAGGCGAGCACAGAATGCCGGGCCTCAAAGATACAAAGGCATGTCCACCGGTCGACGTTCACTAACTGCGTAGCACAAGAAATATCAGCATGCTTTCTGCTGTTCCGTTTAGAGCGGATGGAGTGTTATATGTCATCCTCTTTGGTGGAACACAGCAGTTTGAGTGCAACCAGCTCTGTCTATACCTCCCTTTGGAGATTGTCCTGCTACACATTACAGCTTTGGCACCATGTGATCTAGCTTCACTCATGTGGAATAATCTGGCCTGTATCGGCTTCGGGCGAGAGCACAGCTTTGTGCGACCAACACCTCGCGGCCCACGCCAAAGGTTACTGTCAGGAATCAAGTCCGACGATTATATTGGATTCATCAGCATCGCTGTGGCTCATCATATGGAATTCAGCGCATCGGAATCGGAGGCATTCGAACATAACCTGGAAGCGGCGATCTCCGACATGCTGAGCTATGTAAACACTGGTGCTGACAACGATGACCTTTCCGAGAACCAAGGCAGCTTCAGGCGATTCATCAACCAGTTGCCGCCATTCCGTCTGGTCTCCACTGAATTCAATGAGCTTTTGCAGACGGCGGCTACCCAGCGTTTAGAAGAATTGCGTTCGACAGGTGGATTTTCGAGCAACCCGAATGACGAGCCCATATATTGCTTTCAACAGTCCGAGCAGTTTGAAGCATGGCTGTGGGATTGGATTCTGCCCACACCTGACTATTCACCGAACTCCAGAACACTCCTGAGTCCAGGCGACCAAGTTGCATATGCAGAAAGGGAATCTCCAGAAGGTGGCTCGGAATCCCTGTCATCTGTTGCGGCAACATCGATATTGCCATATCGCTCAGAGTCCTTGGCATCAAAGAAGCGAAAGCTAGATACGGAGTTCTTAACGACTTCTTTCTGTGGCTCTGGCCTTGGGGCAGCCGGCGCTAGTTGAAAGGTGGATGCGCAGAAAGACTATGATAGCGTGTTAAATTTTTCAAGTTGAAGCTGATACCTGCGACGTTGACGGCGTGATGTTCCAGAGTAACTGTAGAATTGTGGGTGGATGCAGGTGAGGTCGAGGAGCCCACTACGGGCCGTCTTCCCCGAACCCCCGGCCACACGTGATGTGACCCCTGTCTCTGTTCAATTTCAGTATCCGGGAGTCGGTGATAAGACTAGACCGGATATGGATAGGTGGAAGCTACAGCGGAGCGCATTAGCGCAGATTTTGGGTCGAAAAATTGATGCCTAGTCGTGTCTTCATCCACAGCAACAGTGTGGAAGCAGCCACAAATACATCATTCTGATGGACCTCGGAGAGCCGCGAGATAGTATTCTACCATTGTTCGAGCTGTTCAGCTCAGTTGCGGAACCTTTGCGAGACGGTGAAGATCGTGTTGAGATTCATTGAGATGAAAAATGATTGTCGAGTTTCAAACGGAACCATTAGCCAACCATTTTCTCAAATTCACGACGCTTTCAGCAGCCGCAGTATCAGCTGATCACATGAGAATAGTATTCTTGTCCTAGCTCAATCCTGGAATGATCGATGATTTGACGTCTCACTTGTCAGAGATCAGATGAGCCGCATGCATACCTGTCTGTAGTTTTCCTCTACTCTAGTTACAATAGCCCACCGGCTAACCATGATTGTCGGAGAAGAGACTGCTCTATTTCGTCTTTGCTATTTGAAATGCAACCAGCTCAAAGGCTTGCAAGATTGCCTGTCACATTTACTGCTCAGTTGCCTTTCCCATGCTTTCGGTTCCATCTCAAAGCGATGCTATATAACAGATTACACTTCCCAGTGAAGTGCCGTTCCTGAACATCGCTGGTTGGCGGTTTGTGAAAGGACCACCAGCAGGGATGAGGCCGTCGTCATCTGCGAATGCACGACACTCCACGGTATCAAGGTCGACGTTGATGTGGATCTTTTGGTCGAAAGTCAGTGCGGTTGCCGTAATGCCCGAGAGAGATGTCAAGTTGTTTATTTCAACCGGAGCTGGAGACCGAGTTGGTATGGTACCGTTGCTGTTGGTATTTACATGAAGCGATATGCCATGGTAACGCTGCTCGATTGCTCGATCCAGTAGCTTGCTAGATGACATCAGGCTGGCATTGACGCAGGTCCAGTCTTTACGCAGCATTCTGTGCCACACACCGGAGGCACAGACAAGTATAGTCTGTGGGTCGCGACTTGGACGACAAACGCCCCATTCGTGCCTAGAACAATGCTTCCCAGCAGCCTCAAGGCCTGGTAAAGCGAGCACTTGCGTGCTGAAGAGTAGTGTTGCAAGGATCATAGATGCTGTGGTACAAAGATTTATCGACGATGCCCCGGGGTTTCGCGCCTGTTTTAATCGATATGTTGACAAGGACCAGGGTTGCGACCACCCATGCCTCCACAATCGGCTCTGTCGAGCCCGTTTCGGCATTCGGTCTATCACAAGAGGACTGGATGCAGTTCAAGCATCCAGACCGTCCCCAAAATCATCAATTGGATCCACTGTGTGATTGATGCCAATCTGTTGCTCCCACTATCTGCCTTCATCTACGACTATGGCTGGCAACGTCGAAGGAAACGTTGAAGTAACTTGCAACGAGCAGAATACTGGATGGGACCTCACATCTTTCGAATTTGAGGTAGACCGCATTGTTGGTGTCCGAAGAACTGCGGACGATGATGTCGAATATGCCGTCCAATGGTCATCGGTGACCATCCGCATCGGGCAGGCCGATGGATACCTGGTTCACTCGAAGGTCAACGGAGTGCCATTGGTTGACTTCGTTCAGGAGTACATTCAGACAGATCAAGGTCATCTCCAGGTCGTTTGGCTGCTTACCTGGGAGCCTTCAACGTCCTTTACACGCTGCATGGATGCTGTCCTAGCGTTTTGGAAGGTACGTAGACTTGATGACAAACTGAGGTCCAAGCTGAGGAATCCAGAACATGAAAGAAACGTCGAGCTACACTCCTGGGGCGACTGAAATGCCACTACTGCAACCAGGATCCACGTGGTTGACGAGCGAGCGCTGTTCAGTATCGTTGGCGAAAGACTAAGTGCAATCGTCAAGTCCATGTACTCGCCGCGTCTGATAGAATACGATCCGAATGTCAACATAACAACTTCCATAGACCTGCTTCACATAGTACGTTCGAGATAGTCTTGTACCAAGCAGAATCTCATCCACTATATTCGCGCGATCTAGCTAGACTAGCAAGACTAGAAATTGTGAGCGGATGGCGATCGCCTAGTATCTTCCTTCGACCCTCTAGCACTTTCGTCTCTAGTTCCGCTGCGTCATCCCACCATCCTAATTCCCGAAACGCCTTCGCACGGAGGGACATGCTGGTAAGAGGCTCTGGCCGACTTGTTGTTTCATCCCCGGCGCAAGCGTAAAGATAAGTATCGCTGACACGCCGATCGCTCGAAAGGTATGCGACCTTTAAGAAACGCAGAAGCCTACAGAGCTCCCACTCGCCCTTGCCGGCATCAATGCATACTTGCAAGCATGTGATCAGAGTTTCGGTACAATGAGCATAGCTGGTTGGGACTGTAGCGAGACCATTCTCCCACTCTCCCTTGATGGGCCAGGGCAAATTTACGCTCCCAAGGTGAATCAGCGACTTCTGTGCCCGGTTAACCACATCGCTCGCCTCGACCAACGCTCCATTCTCTCGTTGCACGTTGAACACGATGATGGGACCTTGCGTCTCAGCGCTCTTATTAGCCGAAAAAAGCAAAATTACGTGCATCCATAGTAAATTTGCCTTCGAATACTAAAGGCTCCATTTTGATAGCTATAACGATAGTAGTAGAGATAGTAGTAATAGCAAATACAGTAGCAAAGATTGCAGATTGCGACATAAGCTTAAAGCAGCGAAAACAGGCCGTCTGCTGCGATCTTAGAGGCTGGACTGTTCTTTGCGCAAAGTGCTTCGCTAGAACACATAAGGCATCCAGCCTCTAACGGTACCATTTTAGTCGCCAACACACCGAAGGTACTTAGTCGGTGAAGCAGTAGGCACCGACGCCTGAATCTCTTTTCACAACCTCGTTTCTCCATCCACCAATGAGATGCCAGACAGGTTCCGTCCAGCCGTTGTGCGCATGCACTTGGCAGTCCTTGTTGAACTGATCGAAGTTCATGTACTGTTGATCGTTATTCCAGCACTAGAAACTGGTTAGTGTCTTACTTCAGTCATAGGTAGTTAACCTTACATGGCCCTCTTCGTGATAATTGAACCCGTTAGCAGTACAAGTTTCTTGCGTAAGCCATGTCTCGTATTTGCCATCTACGTCGCATTGCACGTGCGTGCACCAACCATCCTCGGCCTTGTCTGTGCCGACTGGGCGATGCCATACATCATGAGTGCCATGTGGTTTAGGCTGGGGCGGCATGTTGTCATTAGACAAAGCGATTGCGGTGCCTGAGACGCTGGTGAGCATACACCTAGGGAGACTGTCAGCGTCTTATCATGGAGAGGAGAGGTGGTATGTACAGAAAGGAGGTATAACTCAGAATGGTTAATGGCTTGGGCTGCATGGTGATGAGGAAGTAGGGGGACTGTGTGCTTTGGGGAACAATGGAGGCTGCAGCCGATGATGCAGAGGTCTTGTGATTGTCCGACTCTGCCGTCCAACGGCGAGCTTTAAGTAATGCTGCTATCCTGGAATCTGATTGTGCTTCTCGGGTAAGATACTACCACATAGTAGACCGACGTCTAGGCTCTTGCCTGGATACCAGGCACTTGTAGTCTGTGCAGAGGTTGTCAACACGAGGATCAGATGAGAAATTTTTTAATAGACTGACGTCTGTGCTTCCTTCGCTCGTAAGATATTGAACTGATAACTGTTTGGGGCAAAGAAGACCTGTAGAAGGTAGGAAACGCCTACCCCCTACACGTGTTCAATTCGCTTCCTTGGCAGTAGGAGCATTCTATCTAGAATATTTGGAACCAACGCCTCTTTGTACCCCTTTTTCAGAGGCGTAGGCGGGTGGGCAAAAACATCAACCTCGTGGGTATTATAGTCTGCTCAACTGCCGCGTAAAGGTAGATGAAAGGTGGTAGGTTTGCTGCGGATACCCTAAAGAGCAGGAGTTGGAAACCCCCAAATAGTAGGACAGGACAGGGGGTCTAAAAGGCATATACAGAAAGGACAGGTGTCGATCTAACAGCCTGCAGTACGAGGTGCGACAAAACCCTTCTGCTAAAAGGAAAAAAGCATTCAAGGATCCGAGCCTCCATTTAGTAATATAAAAGACATCACATTCACACCTCAGATCTTGCATCTCGCAAACAGATCCCTCACTCAAGACATTGCGAGGCAGAGCTCGGAGCGCCGCAAGTTTAGCATTATATGCAAGGATAATATGTTAAACTTCGGCAGGGAGGTGGTTGTGTTCGTTGGGCGCTACCGGGTAGACTGGTTTCTGGGCTGTAACAGGCGAAGTGATTGTTGCCACGGTCTGACCATTCTCTGCGGATGGAAACAGCAATCCGGTGCCGTCATCCGGTTACACCTACCACTACGCTGGAATGTGTCTTCTTTGCGCTGAGTCGTAAACTCGGTACGTTGCACGATCTAGCAGGTAGCTCGACCTTATAAGCTAGTAATGAGGCAAGCAATGTTCCATCAAAAGACCGAGTTTGGGCTTGGTTGGAATCTTCCGTACCTTACTAACATCCGATATAAGTCCATTAACGCTCAATCGATCTCGGTCATTTTCAAGCTAGGAATCGAATAGTACGATGTTAGCGCCAAAAGAAAGGAAAAATGTTGAAGGTATGTTTATCGATCGTCTTTTTAATGTCTATACTCCTCCTACGCATCAAAGACATAAACAAAAACAGCTTTGGCACTCTTCAACTTTTTTTACCTAAGAACAATAAGAGCATCATCCGTCACCCGGCAACAGTCACACCCTGGGGTTTCCTGCTGTCCACCACTCCTCCCGCTTTAAGAACTCCGCTCTCAATGTATCAACCTCGTGACATCGAATCAAGCATCTAGTTTGTGGACAAACACTTGAGAGCCACCGTTGTTATCGATGGTCCATTGTTGACTGCCAACCGACCAGCGTGCCGAGCCAAGACATTGAGCGTTTCCATTGACAACACGAACTACTCGAAAGTTGACGGCCGTTCCCGAATTGTTGGTAATAAGAAGACGGGTAGAGAACAGAGGTCCAGCTCCTATCAAGTCGTTGCGGACGCGATAAAGCCGAGCCTGGACATTAGCATTACCGAAGAGTGCAATCGGTGGGATCGCTCGCAGAGGGTCTGCACCATCATTTAGTGTAGGCGGTGGAGTATGTAGTTGCTGACGTCGGGGATAGTTGAGGAGCTCAGGCCCGCTAGGTCCACTGCACAAGTCATTGGCAGCAGTAGCCGCGTCGCATTGCAGATAGCACAAAGTGCTTAGCAGGAAGATGGCAAGCTTCATTTTTCTAGTAGGATTGGAGATATAGAGATAGGTGCTTCGGAGGCTGAGTCTAATCCAGAAAGGTATGCTTGACGAATGATTGAAGGCTGCGACCTGTTTATTCACAGTAGTCTACGCGCGTGGCGGCGTGCTTTATACTTCAGCCATGTGCATAATGTGACTCCATAGTAGTGCGCAGAGATCAAACGAATGCATAGGGCCTTACCGTCCAAGAGAGTCTAGATCTCGATATCCTAGGTTGCGGGCTATACGGCCTATACGGCGTTGTTGACCGCTAGTCGCCTGCATGTAACTATGAACTTTATAACTCGTATTTTTTGTGCACGGTATGTGAATTTTCATGCTTCCTAATGGTCTTGGTGTTGTACCTTGTTCTTGAAACTGCCGTACGACCTTTGAATCCAAAATAGCTCTAGAAGCTATGTTGTACCTTGTTCTTACAACTACCGTACGACTTTTGATTCAAAATAGCTCTGGAAGCTGTGTTGTATATGCATTGTTCTTGCAACTACCGTACGAATTTTGATTCAAAATAGCTCTGGAAGCTATGTTGTGCCTTGTTGTGTGTGTTGTCTGTATGCGGAAACCTCCGTCCAAACCTTAATATTTTTTTAGTATGCCGCGCTATAGGTATGGGAGCCATAGATTAATCTAGCAGCCCCGTCCGCTCGATATAGTAATCCGGCATTTAGCTGTAGCGGTCGCTTTGCTGGCAAAGCGGCAGATGTAGTTAGTTGTTGGATATCGTACTTGCCGGCGAATTAACAACATCGGCGAATACGCGAAACCAACTAGATTAGTAGGTGATCAATCTCCGAGCTCGTTGGCTAGCGGTCGCCGTGCTCGAAAGAGAGTTTTGTATTTAATACGTGTCGTTCGCATCGATTAGGTACTTCAGGTACAAATACCTCGCCGACGCAGGTCCTGAAGCAGTAGCACCTCGATTTCAACGCTATCTTACAGCCTGGTTAGACCTGGTTCGACCTTTGTGAGATTCTCAAATTAGTCAGTATTCGTAAGCAGTTTGGTATCTCACCGTCCCTGTTTACTGTGTACCTAAACTTCTCCTAGGCTCCGGACACGCCTTCGATTCCGCTTCTGGAAGTGCAGCTCGATTGCATTACAACCTGTCCCGCTCTTGTTCAACCACACCAACTCGCGACCATGCAGCGTCTCTTATTCTGCCTGCTGGGTGCTAGCACTGCAGTACTGGCAAGAACTTCGTTTCCAAAAAGCCAGTGCATTGAGTGGGTAAATGGCGCGTGGATTACAGCGCCCGAAACCACCGAACAGGCGTGCAATTTCATCGACCACTCGAACTACGAGGATGGTTGGTGCAAGGCTACAAGAGGCTACGGTATTGTCGACAATTGCATGCACTGCCTTTGCGACTTACTTGGCGAAGGAATGTCGGCTCATAGTGACGGCAAAAAGTGGTATGGTGTGACTACTGGCTGTGGGCACGGTTGTTAGGGCAGTGTTGGCCGGGTGCAGTGCTCTGGGGTGCGTATACTACACAACTCGGAACACAGAGGGAGAGACCATCGAGGCGGTCAATCCATCATCCCAACGACGACCCTTGTCTTGTGTTATACGCATAGTATAGCATATTGGATAGCAATATCATTGTCGCACATGATTTGCCGCTTGTCTTTGGGATTTTGAAGGTCTCGTTCTTTGACGTATCCCCAGATCTTTTTGACAGTCTGGGGCCGCGATAGTTGGGTCTCCCCTAGCAGGGCTGAGAGGGGTTCGGAGAGGTTCATGGGTTTCTGCAATTGAGAGGATCAGGGAAAGAAACGGGAATTGCTTGGGGTGGGCGAGGGAACGTACATGGAAACCGCCTTTCTTTTCCCGTTCAGGTTTCGGATCGCCACTCTCGACGTCGCTGTCGTCGTCGCTGTTGACTTTGGCAGAGCTCTTTTTCTTGGGCTTCTTCTCCTTTTTGATCGATTGTTTGCGCTTGGCGCCTCCGCCTCGTGTTGATCTTGTGCCTGCGTTGAGCTCGGCTTGGAGACGTGCAGCTATTTGTGCATCTGTTTCTGTGGGCTTGCTCTTTTTGACCTTTTTCGGCGCGGGTGATTCGTCGTCGAGCGAGCTGAGCTCTTCGCTCTCGGCTTTACGCTTGGTGGAGGCTGGAGGGGATGCGGAAGTTCCAGTGTTGCCGTTGGTTGTGCCTGCCTTCACCGTGCCATTTGCGGTCGGTGCGGGTTCTTGAACGCCGTTGGTGTTGTCTTCGGGGAATTGCTTGTGCTGGGCTTTGTCAAACCGCTCCATGATCAAGTCCGTGATCGCTTTCTACAGAGCTTGTGTTAGCATGGGCCGGGAGGGAGAAGCGCCAGTGCTCTCGAATCCACTGCTAGTCGAGCATACCTTCTGAGGCGTGAGGTCTTGGTCGACTTCATCTTGCAATGACTTTCGTATGCGCTTGGCTGAGATGTGTTCGTCCTAGAATGCTGGTGGGTGGTAGATATCTACCTCGATACTCTGTCGTCCGATGCTCAACTGCATTTGAGGAGCGACAATAATCAGATCGCAGGATTCACGGACGGCGACATATTCCGGCACTTGCGGCAATTCGAACTGGACGGGAATCTTTCTCAGGCTCAGAGATGGCAGGCCAGGCTTTCTCCTAGCAAATTAAAGAATGTCAAGACTCTTTCCACAAAGTACCCTGCTATGATAGATGCTCTTGATCGCTTACTTCCTTTCACGGGATTCTGGGCAGCTCTGCAGCTGGGTACATTCCACCGTATTTTAAGCATGAACTGTGAAGAGGTCTGCTACACAGGCCTGGGCACCAGTAATTGTCGAGCTCGCTAACATGTTCGGCAGGAGTTGCTGCGTTATCTAAGCCACATATACAGTACCTGGTCCACGATCCTGCCGACCCGCGAATTCGCCCTATTGTTGGATAGTCAAACTGTTCATCACTTGCAGTTGCTTGCACCAAAACATTCCCGTCATGACCGAGCAAGAATTTCTGCTGCTTCGGAAGCTGGCGAGCTCTTCCCCAATATCAGATCCTCACGAACCCGAGAGGTCATCTTATCCCGCGTCTGCTTACTCCGAGGCCGCATCCCATCATTGTTCACGTTTATCGAGGACACTAAATACATGGAACCGTGTTGCACGATTATGAAATCCTTGCTCCCTTCAAAGACCAAGATCTCCATAGCGCGTTATTTTCGCCACCGATACACACAAGAGCATATTGGTCCAGCGCGTATTCAGGTACAGGAGGACCGCTTTGAAGCAAAGGTGGTCGAGCTGGCAGACTACTTCCCACTGATGTATGCACAGCTCTGGTTATTCTGCATACGCCATTTCCCGAATATGCAGAGTGTAAACCCACGGAAAGACTGTGGAAAGGCGAAACCCGCGTATGAATTGAAACAGGAACTATTGCCAAGACTGGCCACCTTGGCATTCGAGCTAGGATTCAGGTCCACGGAAATAACAAGACTTAAGGAACAAGATCCGATGCATTGTGCCGTCAAAGCTTTCATTGAGACTGCACGACCTCGAGATTCCTTCCAGTATGACGGCGCCAGCTTGGACCAGCATGTTAGCGACATCTGTCAATTTCTCCACAGCATCCCAGCAAAACACGAGCCACCAAGAGCTGCTGTCATTGTTTCAGAGGAGGTCGAGGAGCCTGTTCTCCATCGATGTGGACGACCATACGAAGGCTCATACTTACGTGACCGAAGGTTCATGTTTCTGCCTCACCTGCTACACGATCCTCAAATAGACGAAGCGAGATACTTCAGCTCCTTCGGCGCGAAGCAAGACATATTTAGGTGCTTCTTCGGCAGGATGGCTGACTTAGGACCTTCTGAGGAGCCTCGAGAGTCCACTTTCCCTACACGCGAGACCGCGTTGGGGACACATCGTGTCGCGAGCTCCGTGTACTCTCAGCCTACTCCTGCCAGGGTTGCTTCATGGAGCTCTATCGTTCCAACGCCTGACATACACTCTTTGGTTCGGACTTTCGCCACCCCATCCATCTACTCTCCTGCGGGCATCGTGAGCCTTTACGAGCGACAGCGAGACAGCTCCTCTCGTTCAGAGGGTCACACAGTACAGAGCTCAATGGACCTGCAAAACTTCGACCGAGACGCATCCACTAGTTGGTATTACAACATTCAAAGCCAAACGCTACAGACCAGCTCGAGTGGCAATACTGCTGCTGTAGTGCGGAGTTTTCAAGCGCAAGGCTACTTCGTGCTATGCCTTGAGACATGTCGATTAGTATCACACGAACTTTGTCTAGAGGAGGATGTACAGAATACAGGCCGATTCGACCGATGCTCGCTGTATCTAGTAGGATTAAAGGGATTGTACAGAGTCAATCCGGCAGCAAAAGCAGATGTTCGGCGCCTCTTGGCCGCGTTCTCATCGGAAGATGACGCCCAGGAAATTATGGCGTATTCATGGCCCTTCCACGACCGATAGCTGATCAAGTCTGAGACATAGTCTCTCCGGCCTCTCTTGGTGCTGGCGGCGACTCGGCTTCGTCTCCGTTGGTGTTATGAAGCGCTTGTGACCATTCCATCATGTTGTGGCAAAAGTCCAACACTTTGTTGTTCGACCTTCATTCCATGTCAGTAATATCCTTGTCGGTGACAGTTCGACATACTTCTCCACTTGTGCCAGTCGCTCCATGATCTGTTGGCTCCTTTTGAGTTGTCAGCTCGTGTTTGACTACATCATTCGCTCTCAACATACATTAACACTTGAAGTTGCATCGAGTAGTGTAATTGCTGCAGACTTGGTAACGTGACCTTGCATTCATGGATGTCGTCGAACCTCGGCGGATTCGGCCAAGCCCGTCGCTTCTTGGATGGGCTCGATCCTGGAGCAGAAGCATCTGGAATTGGGAGCATCTGAGCGACTGGCGCCATCTGGCTAGACGAAGTCCAATTGTTTGGAACAGGGCCGAACTGCAGCGAAAACCCGTCCAAGAACTGATCATACTGAGGATGCATCTCGGTGCCGTTTGGCACGAAAGATGTTCCTTCTGGCCTGGGTGCGCGGAAAGCAGTGGAGGATTGTGTGTTTGGGTGTGGAGGTGACATTTTTTCTGTTCGAGGACTGAGAATGTCGCAACGAAGCGGTCGTTCCAGACGACCACTTAAATATCCAAACAATGTTGTTCTGAAACCATTTAGCGCTTCAGCTTGGTCAAACGCCAAGGGTAGCCTGAGGAGGCCCCGAGCAAGCGCTTATAAGCGTGTAGACATGCAGGTACCCGGACCTTCAGTATCAAGCGAGCGACACACACGAACTGAATAAAGCATCTATTTCCATTGTTGGACACAGAGCGGCGTAACATCTGAGCATTTTCAGAATAACCATGGTAATGTGAACGTCTCCACGCGAAACGAACAATACTGATCGATGCAGGAGGACTCGAAATCGCAAATGTGTTCAGTCTGTGTACAGCGTTCTGGCTGGGAGTTCGTCAAGGATTTCTTTCTCCGCGAACAGTCACTCCTCAAGCAGAATGAGGCGTTGAAAACCCAACACGAGAATGAGCTTCAAGACCTATACTCGGCACTGGGGGCCATGAGACTCAGTTATTACTCGGCGCAAGCTCATGTTGCCGCACTACAGTCACGACAGAAAGAACTCGAGACATCCAATTCCAGTATTCACAAGCAACAGATCACACTTGAGAGTGAGCTACAACACCTCCGTCGCCTTCAATCGGACCTAGAGACCCACGCCTTAGAAGCAAAGGAGACCCACAATCTCAATTGTGAGATGATCAAACATCAGAACGAAGAGTTGGAGCGTCGAAGCTCGGAGCTCCATGCTGCAGAAGCCGCCGCGCGACAACTAGGTGATATGATGAATGAAGTGGTGTCCGCCAATGATTTCGCTGCTGCTTCCTTCAAAGGAGCTGTAAACGTTGCTGACCTGGTTATGCGGAACAAGTATCTGGAGTCGGAGATACTCGACCTAAGAAACGCCCTAGGCCGTCTGCGAGAAGATGTGCCCTCTCCTAGCGGCGGCGAGTCGATATGTAAGCTTTCCTAATTGCAGCTTTACTTCGGCGCTGACATCCACTAGCAGATTCAGGCTCTTTTCATTCCTTTGTTCCTCTCCCAGAAGAAGCGATGATATGCAATCCCGTGGAGGTGTCGAGCGCCTATGATCACTGGGAGGAGTACCGCGAGCTTCATCCACTACAGGAGGAGAATCTACCATAAGAGCAAACATTTGCAACCCAAGGAATTCAGGCTTACACGGATCTCGCTGGCGATATCGCAATGCTACAATCAACATTCCGCTCTGGCATGGATCATGGCGGCCAGATTGAGAACGACAGGGTATCAGTTTGGCAGCATGTAATGACGAGGCTACCGGCTGGGAAGGATGACCTAACGTTTCGGATAATCCTTTCCGGTCATAATTTGACACATTGGTACTGTATCAGAAGCTCTCCCAAAGGGGTTCCAAAGTGGTAGATATGATACACAATGGTGAGGGCTTTCCGAGGGCACCCAGCAGTGCTCGCCAGTATAGGCCAAGCAAGGTCATTTTTGGCCCAACCCTCCTGATACGCGCCTATTCTCACCACTGTGTTGAATCTCCTTATACTTGTCTCCTGCTTGTCGCTATATATACGGCCAGAACTTGTCAACAAGCGCTACCATGGTTCGCAAGATCATCGAGCTATGTTGATCTTTCAAGCTGTAAACCTTTGGATTGCTGGTTTTGCTGGGGAAGTCTCCTCACACTCATTCGTTGAAAATCTGCAGCAGCTCGATAACAATGATCCTATCGGAGACCTTGGATATTCACGGGGCTATGGTAGATGCTTCGACTGCCAATTCTGGTGCTCAATGCTTACTTCTTGTTTCCAGTGAATTGTTCATTGACGACGTTTGATCTCGAGATGACACATCTACTTCCCGCAGACGGTCGTGCATCTTTGAACGAGGATGATAGGATCTGCAAAGCTTCACAATCGATTGGAAATGTGACATTCCCAAGATTGAGAGCTGATGCGGGCAGTACCTTGGTCCTGCGATATCGTGAGGGCGGCCACATTAGTCTGTCCTCTCGTCGACCGGAGAAGTTATCGGCAGGGACTGTGTCCGTGTATGGTACTTCTGAACCAGTGGCTGACGAGAGGATCATCAACGTCCACCTTGTGTGGAATGCTAACGGAACAGGTGGAAATAGCCAAGGTAGGCTCCTTGCGAGAGCTAGCTTCGATGACGGGATATGCTTTGAGAATAACGGCTCGCCGCTATCAATGCTAAGACAACACAAGTTGCCCCCTGAGAGCACACCAGATACAGGTGGACATGTGATCTGCACCTTAATGGCGCCGATCCCCACTGGGCTGCGCAATGGCAGTCTCTTTACATTGTACTGGGTATGGGACTGGCCATCGATCCAGCCATCGACAGATGAATTGGGAAAAGCTGAACTGTACACAACATGTATCGATATCGAGATTGGCTAAGCATGTATTGAGCTACAAGCACCCATCATAACCGTCGTTCACAAATTCTTCCATGAAATCATCCAGCTCGTAGTCCTCGAGTTCGCTATTGATTGAAGTCCACTTGTGACCATTGCCGGTTTCGTCATGCTTTGACTGCCAGCTTCGTTCCTTGGTGTCGCCAGGTGACAGAAGCAAGGCAATATTGCGCTCCAGACTTTCCATCTGCTGTTTCAGGAATGCCAACTCCAATTGTAACCATACGACCCTGTCGGGTAGACTTGTGTCCGAGAAGGCATTTGTGTCCAGACTTTTTGCGGGCTTCTTGTCTGTGGTCGCGATCACAGGCGAAGACTGAGGAGCTTTCGGTATTGGCTCGTTCAGAAGGCTTGAGATGGAAGTCATTCTTTGCAACAGGTCGTGATTCAGAGGGAGAGATAGCTTGACTTCTCTGTTACTTCGGCGGAGCACTTGAGATATACTGCGGCGTGGATACTAACAATCTTCATCTTTGCTGTACCCCCATTGCACACCTTTCGGGCCTCAATATGCCACTTTGGATTCAGAATGCTCCGTGCAGGTCGCTGAATGTCACTTCACATCCACGCCAAGACGAAATCATGAAGGCACATGCATTGCATATCCGCCCGCCCGCATCTGCGGGGATACAGTCGGACGTTGCACATGTGCGGCACCTCCAGAAAGCATGTTCAGGCAAGGAATCCATGCTATGGACCAGCTTCTACCTTGCATCCCGTTCTAGCCTAAATTCACCGTTTTGGCATCATAACGCGGCTCGAATTTCAGTATCCGCAATCATTCCAGTCCGACCGATTCTTGCAAACTCCTGTCGTCACTCGAACCTTCCGCCATGGCTCTCGTACATGTGAAGAATTTCTCATTCTGCCATTGTATCTATTGTCACAATACGCTGGCGATTCTCGAGCATCCCAAGTTTACTCAACCGTGCCCCATCAGCATCTGGACGACATCTCATCTCTATCTCACGGCATGCGTCTCCTGTTGTCTATCGAACAAGGCTGCGAGATACGTTCACGGCATGCTAGTCGAAGCGTCGCCCCACACCAAATTGCTGCAGGACCTATCCAAAAGCTCAAATTCGGCCGTTCAGGTCTGGCGACGAGGAACAGAGATCATTTGTTCGGATTATCGTTTCATCGTTGCGAAGCTAGGTACTTGGGACGAGCTCAATTGGGCGTTCGAGCCGGCACCAACAATGTCGATGTGGCAATTTCTACCTATCAGATCTTACCGCTACATACGCCCAGACGACGACCTCAGCTCTTTCAATGTAGATACCGAGACGGAGCATTGCCAAGATTTAGAGAGGTCAAAATCACATCATCAAGATATCTGCACGACCACAGATAGCGTAGAATAGTAGGAGCGAAAGACTAGGTGTCGTGAGACAGGTGGTGGGTCTCCTAGCCGCTGTTCCTGTGAGAGATGAGGTTCGCTGAGGAGATGCAGAGCTTCGGGGCCAGCTCCAACTGGTGTTGGTCGGAAAGGCTGGACAGTCCGTCGCAGCAGAGAACATGTTCGATGGACGAGCTGAGACGCCCGTCGTTGGCAGAGAAGAAAAGTGCAACCCGCAAGAAGGATTTGGCGACTGTCGCCCATCAATTCTATAGTTTGTGGAAGCGCTAGGTATGAGTTCCATCGGGGATGAAGTCCCGAGTCCTGTCCATGTATCTGTTTCAGAAGCCGCGTCATAGCCAGCGGTGTCAAAAAGTCCCGCGGGCGACGTTGAGGCATTGACGGTTATGGTTGATGTGATGGTCGATGTGATATGTATTGTCGAGGTCGTACTGTCTTCTTTGCTTGCATCATCGGAAGGGGAGTCCAGCGGATTGACCACAAAGGTTGAATTTGGTCCACACTGAGATTCTTCTCCCGGCAAACTACAGAAGAACCACTCTGGTGCGGTAGTGGTCACGAGAAGCTCTATAAATCGCAGGCTGGAGCCTTCCGAGAGGTATCCCGATTCAAACGCTCCACAAGGACGGCATGGCTCCTCCCATGAAGCCTGAGTGATGCTTTGGTTTCCAGAGGGCTTGAAATGTATTGCGTCTCCTAACGCAGCTTCAAGACGATGAGGATGAAACGCGCAGTCGCTGTCGAGAACAACACGATGTTCACTTGAGACAGAAGCTCCAGGCTTCTGAGAATCTTTGGTGGCTAGTGAACGATTCACTTCGAAACTTCGTGATGGGTCAAATGCTGACACTTCTATTGATGCAACTGAGCCAGCAGTGGCAAGTACGTTGATACTAGTAAACTTCATATCATATGACCAAGGAAGCAGAAGAGACTGGCCGCATCCATTTGGAGGCGTGGAAGCTCATATATTCGATTTGTGTGGATGTTGTCTAGTTTCAGGCAAATATCCACCAAACTGCCCACAATTCGACGGTTCCTCGTGAGAACGTAATCCAGAATCAACGTTATAAGAGCACTGAGTCCATGTCGCTATGCGACTACTTTCTTCCAGCACACTCACTATGGCGAGCGAAGACAACAGAAAGCTCAATCTTCCAGACAGGCCGTGTAACATTGTCTTTGCCGCTACAGACATCAGTCACCAGAGGACTGTCAAAGAAATTGGGCTTCAGAATAGTCCTTACCCTGAGAGATGGAATGAAACAAGCTCAGGCGAGCACCGTGAGTTGCATCAAGCGAACACAGCTAGAGTGTCTGCAGTAGAGCCAACCCCAAGACGATGATTTGGGCTGAAATGCGACAATAAGGGAAGGGCGAACGTGGGGTCAATGAATGTGCGTGACTGAAGGTTTACAGGGTAGTTAAATATATATTGTCCTCATCCTCTCTCACAGATCTTAGCGGTCATCAATGCCATGATTTTCTGGTTCTACATTCCTGGATTTCGATTTCTTGTTGCAGTGGACATACCCAGCCCACAGACGCCTCTAAATATCCACGTTGTTGTCTTCCGAGATCCTTCTCTTCCCCGTGCGTGCTCCTTGCGTGTATTTGGTAACACATATGCTGACAGCTTGAAGGAAATATTGGTCCGGACATATTCATCGTGGATGAGCTTCATTAAGAGTTTGGGCTAAGCTGAGCAAACGCAGGAGCGAAGATCGTCTTAATCTCACAGTCCCGCTTGTCTCCATCATGACAGCTTCGTCACAGTCGCTAGATCGTCCACCAAAGGATGCGAGACTCAACTCAGGAGGTGGGCGGCCAAATTGCACTTGTGGCATGTGCTCAATTCGTACCGATTGTGTGACCATCGGCAATGTACGACCCGCTGCCTACATGCGGTTTATTGTAACTGCAATCCTGAAGGCCGATCAACAGATATCTCGTCATGAAATGGTCTGCCATATGAAGCCGGATCTCACATGGATTAGTTGCAATGGCGACTTGCGGTCTGTCACCTGGGACATCATCGTTGACTCGAGTTCCTACCACAATCGTAGGATACAGAGCTTCAAATCGATTATGAGCCATCAGATCCACTATAGTTCGGCACGGAGGGAAATCTCAAACTCGTTGATAGAAGCAGGCAACCTCCAGGCGAGCACTTGGAAAGTCATTGATGGTGAAAGTGTAGACATGGCGATAGCAGCCTTGGAGAGTGACGAGTCATTGCCAACGACAGAAGCTATTCAGATGATCAAGCCTGCGAGGCTAGTAGCTGAACTACGTTAATGAGAACCCTGATATGCCTAAGGCGCAAATACACATGGCACCTCCATCTCTCCTTGGCCGTAAAGTAGCTCATGGCCCAGTGGATCAGTGTCGGTCCAAGAATGCTCGCTTGGCTCTGACAGAGTGATTTCGGGGTCTGAGAACGACCGTGGTAATGGCACGGGCGGCAGCAACTTCGCAGTCTGGAGGCTGCTGCCTACAGTCTCCACTCCCGCATTATCAGAGTTTGACAGATCGCAAGCAGTAAGCTGAACAGGAAGTGGATAGCTGGAGCTCTGCTGAGATTAGTCGCTACCGATATAAGCCCTGGTATAACTCACAATATCGTGTGGTGATGGAGGCCATGAAGGCTTATCAAGAGAGCTATACGTGTAGTATCTACCACCGTAGCGAATGAGAACGTAGACTTGAGCCTCACACTTTGTGGCCAACTCGTGGGCTTTGTTAATCAATGTAATTCTACGTTTGCGTCGCTTGTTCTAGAAGAGCCGTGCCTGGCCAGCATCTACGGCTCTCTTTTGGCTTAGACCGTATCGCAGTTGGAAAGTCTTCATTTCTGATTTGTCCAATAAGGAGATGTCTAAAAAGCATAGAAGTTGATTACTGAGTACTTAGTAGTCAGCGGCCATAATCATAATCATAGTCAATAATAAGTGAATAATCAGTAGTTATAGTTACATAATCATATAATCAGCGGCCGTAGTAAGGCTTAGGGTTAAGAAGGAGGTAGATTTATAGGCCGCTGTCGCTGTTAGTAGCGCCTAAGACCGAGTATAAGACTAGCAATATTCCTTCTTCTTCTACCTCTTCTAGCACGGCCAATTCTAATAGCACCTTAGCAACCCCTATTCTTATCTAGTTCTTCGAGCACTTGTTTATACGAATATAGTTACTACTTATACGTGTACGGTCCTATCTAGCGGTGCGGCGGCTTATACTAAAGGTCCTCTCGGACTTAGCGGACATAGTAAAGGCTAACAATGTATCAATAGCCAATTGCTATAACGCTAGATCGTAGGTCTTCCGCTATTAAACCTACTAGTCGATAGGACTTATTATAACTAGCTTCTCGAGGCCAACTAGTAGCAGTGCTATTAGACTAGTATAGATAAAGGCTTCGAAGGGGTCCTTATTAGTAGCAACTAGGTTAGTTTGAGACTTAATTTGCTAGCGCTCGAGGTCCGATAGTCCTTTAAAGGAGCGCTATAGCGTAACTAGTAGTTAACGGCTGTTTCCGAAGCGTGTCTTGTAGTCCTTCTAAAGCGCTATAGACTATAACAAGGTAGTGTCTATGTCCACCGCGGAGCGGCCTCTAAGCTAGGCAAGTCGTCGGCTTAGATATAGTAGTACTATAGTAACGTAGAGAGGGCTCTTTTAGTTAAGGACGTAGTACTTGTCGAATAGCGTCCTTACTATATTGATAGACCTAATAAGGACCGTCCGGTAAGTATTCTCGCTAGCTAAGCGTATAAAGTAGCTTCTTAGGTATTCTATAGACTCTTAATACATATCGAATGTAATAGCGTAGCCTTAAAGCCGAAGAGTAACCTCTTTGAATAGATTAAGAAACCTCCTTATATGAGTAAGAACCTTCCAGTCGTCGTCGGCTAGGCTAAACTTACGTAGGTGCGGTATTCTATCGAAGAAGGTGTTCAAGATTGGCCTAGTTTGAATAGCCTCTTCTATTATTAGAAGCTAGCCATTCTAGCGCGTTTCACCGGGGATCTTTAGCACTATATATAGCAGTTGTAGCTAGGCCTTACAGACCTCTTAGAAGATGTTGTTATTGTCGTTCTTCCGTAGAAGCTTAGCGAGTGCGAATAGCCGTTGTAATAGTCCTTATTTAACGAAGCACTCTACGTCTATATCTAGCTACCTCGATATAGAGATATTGTCGCTATCGTTGCTAAGCACTATTTGATTAAATTCCTTACTCTTAGCGGCCTCTACGTCCTTAGCAAACATAAAGGCTATAGTTACACGGTTAAGGATGTAACTAATATAGCGGAGCCGACGGTTCTTCTAGTACGAGTAGCCTTATAAGTCTATAAAGCGCTTAATAGCTATACTAAGTGTATTGTTGTTAGAGCCGCTATTAGTCGTTATCTAGCTAAGTTTGCTAGCTATCTCGAAGGTTGAGAAGCAAGGTAGGACAGTCTTAGTAAGGAAGTTACTAGTATAAGAGCTAGGTAGAAGTTGTAGCAAATCTAGTAGTATTTAGACTAGCCGGCCCTACGTATTAATATACTAGCAATTAATGGCTTAGAAGAACTTATAGCTATACTAAGACTTCTACGTATTAGTATAGAAGTGAAGGCAACTAAGCGCTACTAATAGTGCTTGTTTGACTACTGCTCGCTAGCTCTCGAAGTTATATAGAACACGAGGAAACAGTAAAGTATAGCTCTTAAGAAGGACTCCTTCTACGTATAGATTGACTGTTAGTATAAGGTCCTTAAATTCCTTCGTAACTAGCGTAGTATAGGCGATACTATTAGCTATTGCAAAGCGAGCGAGGGCGTATCTGAATTTGTCCTTATCCGCGGCACCTTTAAGTATATTTGTAGTCTTATCCGACTTAATAGAGCCTTGCTTCTTCTATAGTGCTAAGAGGTCAATCTTCGTCTGCTTTTAATAAGTGCCTTCGAGCTTCCGCTTCTCAATGCCGATAAATATAAAGTGCTTCTTAGCTAGGTGCTAAGGCGCGTTACTAGAATTAGACGCGTACCGATTAGGGTCGTTGTCGTCGTAGTGTATATAGTAGAATGCCTTATGCCTGCCTCTATCGACCTTTAAAGGCTCTCTATCTTTTAGTGCTCTCGCATGCGCCTATAACGCCGGATCTAGCTAGTTTCTGCCTCTTCTACGTTTCCTTAACTCGGCGACCGTAGGCGTAGGTATCGACTATACTATATTCGGTATATTCGAGGACTGCGAGGTAGATAGCCGTATAGAATTAGAAGCTTAGAGGAACAAGGTATCCTCGTCTAGTGTTAGAGACGGAGGTTCATTAGCTTCGGAGCTTAGAATATCGCTTAGATCGCTCGAATCTTTATAGAATAGTATCCGGTCTAGTAGGTCGCTTTCCCGTTTCGATAATTAGGTATTTATATAATTTTCTAGCACTTTCTAAGTTGGTTTATGCTTCTTGCGGAGGTTGTCTCGTATATCGAAGATGTTATTGTCTTAAATTAAACAATGAATATCAAACTTTGAGTTTGCTAGCGTGCGGCTAAGCCGTGCGGACCTTGCCGTCCGAGCTAAGCGACGCTTTCCGATTAGGCTTAGCTAGACCCTAAGGCTAATATAACGCAATCTTTATAGGCGCGATAGCAAGCTCGAATACTATTCTACGACTAATTCTACACTTAAACAATAACAACAACCTTACTGCCGCACCTAGCAACCTTAGTACCCTCGCTATTAATTAGACGGTGTAGTACCTTGTCGATACGAGCCTTAAAGTATACCTATCGCAGCGGACACTACGATTTTAGCCCGAGAAAGCACTCCTCCGAGTATATACACCTCCTTCCAAATTTGAGATAACGACGAGAACCTAGCGGCAATATAGGCTTACCTTTGCGGTCTATGCCTTCTTATACCTTCTAAAGGCTATCAGCTATACGCTCTTAATAGCTAGCAGCCCTTTCAATAATCTTATTAGTATAGCGAAGGCTCTTTGTTGTCTTCCTCGTAACCCTCCGATACGGCAACTATAAGCCCTCCTTTTTAGCCCCTCTAATACACTACTCGAAGTCCTTCTACGCTACTTCATCGATGAAGGATAGTATACCGGCTTGTTAGAAGTGGAGCTAAGCAGGGGTAACAAATTAGTCGGTTTAGCTAAGAGTCGGATAGGTAACTAGCGTATCCTTTAGCAATAACTATAGGTAATAGCTCTGTGTTACTAAGAAGGCCGTAGTTAACAGGTCGGAAGTCTATATTAGCGACAACAACAACTCTTCTTCTTAAGAAGACACTAGTAACTTAGCAACCTATTAAAATTAGCGACTTCCTATGCCTATATTCTATACACCTACCTCTCGATAAAAGTCGCCTATTGTAGTATGTTATTGTCTATAGAAACAGGTAGAAACTAGTACAAATTTGATACCTACTATAGGTGTAACATACACCCTAGTATTGCCTAAGAACAGCCGACTGATTGCTGATTATAATCACTAGTCACTTACTCAGTAATCATAATCGTAGTCACATGTGATTACAGTGACTAGTGATTATCAGTAATCAATAATCAACAACTATGCTAAAAAGCAAGAGGTGTAGCTATATGTGCAGCCAATTTATATACCTATGTGTGAACTCCAAAGTGGGCTTTTGTTGCTGAAACCAGGATTCTGTTCAGCACGTTAAAAGCCACTGGTGAGGTCGTACATGGCCCATTCTCTCTCCCTCACATTCACACCAGAATTCGATCGTCGTCATGCAACACCACTTCATCCTGGTTTGGGCTTCGGTGTCCGCAGCAGTCGAGCAACTGGTCCTTAACCGACCCACTGCACTGACAACTACCACGACTGCCACCAGTTACACAGTTTTGGTTGAGACGGTGACGAGAATGCGCCCCCCACCCAGCCCATCTGTTAGCCACTTGCAATGCAATCATCAAGCTTGCGATACCTGCAGATGGTTCTATCGCTGCGATGGAGGTCAGAATGCCTGGTCCGTATTCATTCAAGACTCATGGCCGTCTGGCTAAGCTGACAAGACAGCTTCTCATGTGATACTTCGCGGTTCTGTGAATGCCTCTAAGGATATGAATAATACATGAGATTAGATACACTATAGCTAGCTTGATCGATCACATAGGAGACTCTGGCAATGCTATCGCGGATGGAATTGTAATTTGATTCGACCTCGTACTACGAAGTCGTTTGTTCTTGATTCCTTGAGACTCTCCGGGCTCCATTTGACGACCACGACTCTCCGATAGCTCTCGTTGATCGACCGGCGATGCAGCAGGTCGCTTGCTTGACTGGCCCCGATACAAGTCTAGATTCGCCATCCTTGTCCTGGCAATGGACGATGCTCTGTTCGAAGCACCATTCGTCTGAGATGCATTCAGCTTCTGCGGATCAGGAACTTCACCTGCTGTAGTTTCAGTCCCAGAGGCCACTGGGTAGGATTCTACCAATGTTTGCAACAGATCTGAGTTGTAAGCATCTGGGGCCAGTCCAAACAGCTGTTCGAAGTTGTCTTGGAACACGTCGAATGCGTCCTCCCCCAGATCCTCTGGCGTACGAGGCTCCGAAGCAGCATTATTGCCGCCATCATGCTCTTCTTCTTCGAATCCGAGGCTTAGCTCGAGAAAGTCAGATGAATGGGCAGCAAAGGCATCATCGTCGTCGATCTGTGCTGACGTTCCAGCACGTCGGGACAAGCGACGATCAAGTCGCCGAGCTCGTTCCCGGCCAAGTACCTCAGGACTCATGTTCTTGAGTCTTTCACCATCCTACTAGATCAGTAAAGTACGACTGTTTAGGCAAATATACTCACAGTGAACATGAGTTCTTCGGCCGGCGGCCAAGATTCTGCAGAGCCGTCCTTTCGAGTGATTCTTGGGTCTGAGTTCCAATGATATATGGTACCGTCATCGACCCTTTCCATCACGATGCTGATACGAAGATGATCCGCACATGCTGACTTCAGCTCGTGAGCCTTAGTGAAGACGGTAGAGTACCGCTTGCGAAACTTTGCTAGGGTGTATTCGTCCATGACCATTGTGATTAAGATTCAAGTGAAGATGGAGACTTTGTGTAGTGCTTCGCTCGACCTATTGTCGACTTTTCAAGCCGATAAGTCTCGTGAGAAGCTGTAACTGGTGCGAAAAGACTCGTTTGGTCATGAGCGAGTACAAGTATCGTCGTGCTCCCCTGGCTGTCCCATCGCAGAGTCCATGACAGAAATGAGAGCAGTCGAAATCTACTTTGTCGTTGCGAGCAGCGTGGTGCTTGCCACCTTCTCCTTGCGACCACTTGCACGGATCATCCAAGCGCTGGCTAGAGCTTGGCATTATGGCACCCTACCTTACCTTGTAAAACGACATCGTCTCTTGGGCCCGATCACCTATACTGAGACCCTTGCACTCATGGTCTACCTGGCCGCAAGTACACTTGCAATCCTGGTAGGCAGTAGTTCCACGAACGATATTAGCTCTCGGTCCGCGATCCTCGCGATTAGCAACTACCTCATCTTGTTCCTTGGAGGGTCCTCATCCATTCTCATATACGCCCTTGGGATAAGTTGGCTCCCAGTCTCGAAGATACATACTACGATTGCCATTGTCGTAGCTGTAAAATGCATGATCCACATATTACTGGAGATTCCGCATGTCGTCATAGATACTCGTGGAAGTTTTGGCATTGTAGTAGGTTCCTTTGTTATCACTGAGGCTGTATTTGTGCTGAAAGACCTTTAGGCAGGGTCAATAATGGCCCTAATAGTTATATTGGAAGTAGTGTGGCGCTTGCTATACGAGCTCGTGCGATTCACTCATCATGTGCTCGCTCTTGCAACACTCTGGTGCATCTATATGCACGTCAAAACCAATGGCATTCGCATCGCTCTGGTTGCAACTGGCTCTCTTTCTCTTGTTGGCAGCTTTGCAAAGGTTCTTCGCATCGCGTACCGTAGCTACTTATTCGGTACGGAAAGAGCTCAAATCGAGGTTGTGCGTCGACAAAGTGATGCCCGAGAAGATGCCGTTCGAATCCTTGTACCGTTGCGAAAGAAGTGGGATTTCAGAGCAGGTCAATATGTGCGACTGTGCGTGCCGCAGGCGTCCATTACTGCATTGATGCAGATGCATCCCTTCATGGTGTATTACTGGGCCAAACACACAAGGAATGGAAGAGACATCTGGTATCTAGGACTCTTGATCCAGCCGCGGAGGGGATTCACAGCCAACCTAATTCGTGCACGAAGCGCCGAGGTCACTGCCCTGATTGACGGTCCATATGGCAAGCCATATAGGCATTTACGCAACTACGGTACCATAATCCTGGTGGCTTCAGGAATGGGCGTTGCTCCTTTGATCCCGGTCATTAGAGAAGCGCTTGATTTCATGCCTGGGGAGAGCTGTCTGCGCAAGGTACATCTTCTGTGGGACGCGGAAGAGTATTGTAGGTACTTGCTTTGCCCTGGTCCGAAATAAGCACTAATCTAAGATAGTTTATGGGGACTGCAGCTCATTGAGGCATGAGTTGCAGGATTGTCTTGACCACGATAAGCGCAATCAAGATTCGACCTTGCTTCAAATCTCTGTCTACGCAGCAAGCAACAAATCTCTGCCCGTCAGCAATCGTCTTCGCTTTCACTGTGGAGACCTCAAAGTCGATCCCCACGTTACCAGCGAGCTTCATGACGCACCTGGAGAGCTTGCGGTTTTTGGTAAGTCATAACTTACCAAGATCGAGAAACAGCTAACCAAACAGTGTCGTGTCACGGGACAATACGAGACCAGGTTCGAGACGTGGTCCGGAAAAGTAAGCGTACAGCGAGGTTGGAGTACTCACTGTACCAGCCAACAACTATATCGAACCGACCCCTCGCTTGCAAGGAGCTGGCTTCTTGACATATGCTTGATATCTGTGGCAAAACTGAGTAAGTTGGAACAGGTGAGGTTGGGCTGCCATCAGGTGACTGGAAGGATATGCGGGGCGGTTGCCCAATCAGGCAGGGGCTACGGGCCGGAGTTTACCTTTTTCGGACATGAAATTACAAGCCTTTCGGACCGATAATCATACAGCTTGATTCCTTCTACAGTCGCTGAAGTGACATAGTACCACCCCGTCGAGACATTGATCGTCAAATTGGCCATTTCCCCAGCCCAGGGTTAACCAGAGAGCTCCGGCGATTGGCAGGAATGAGATCCAATGATGTCGGCCGGGTCTACCGAGATCAATGCTTGCAGTTGAAGCCAAGCTGCCCACAGATCTGAGCAGTAGGCGACAGCTTTCTCTTTCTGGAATTCTTGTAGCTTGCAGAGTTGATATGTACGAAGCAATTGTTCTTCAAGATCGTGACATCGCTTCTCGTATCGCTCCTTCAGATCGATAAAGTCGTCTTCCAGAAGCCGGTATCGACGTTGGGAAATAGCCAGCTCGGTCTGTAGATATGCCGCGCTGCGCTCCAACGTCGCTTTGTCGTGAGACTCAGGGAGAATCACAGACATGGGAAGCATCGCGAATCTATGCTTAGCCCGCATTGAGTAATGCCTTGGTGCGGTATCGGCAGGTAGGAGCACAAAGCCGTGAGTCTTCAGCCGTGGCCCAAGGTAGAGAGAACATGCGAGATGAATCGTACTCCAAGGTCTGGACGAGATGAATCGTGAGGCTAGTGTGATCGGACGTGATGAGTCGCACGGCCCAAAGAAATGTACGAGACAAATCGTAGGGCGTGAAGAAATGGACGAGATCAACCGTAGGGCCCAAAAAGTGGACGAGATGATTCGTACGGCTGGAATTCTCGTACGGCTTGGAAAACGAGAGATAAAAGTCGTACGGTCTGACAAAAGCCGTACAAGAGAAATCGTAGTGGACGAGAAGCCGCACGGTGTAAGCTGTAAATCCCTGTAGCCGAAAAGAGCGATATGAAGCCCATTCTCTCACTTTGCATCCCACTATGAGCTTCTTTGAAATTGTACACGGCGAAGCTGTATAAATTTGACCCCAGGACGGCGAATTGAGACTGTAGATACAGTCAAACATGCCTTACAACTGGAACGCGGATGCAACAAGCCAACCACAGCTTCAGAGTGCGATGCCTTCCTCGTCGAACTCCCTGCAAGATGCGCCTAGTGCTTCTCAACTTCCAAAATTTGCACCTTGCAACCGAATTCCATCAGCTAAGGCCAATGGTCATGCCACGACTCAACGCAAGGCGAGTGAGGTCTCGACAAATCAGAAGTCCTGTTCATGGCTGCATCATCAACCACATGTTGTTATCGCACACTGGCCGCTATCTGTACAGATAGGTGTCTGCTCCGACCACCCCGGGGCGGAAGGGGTAAGTTAATTCCGTACTCTACTCTATCTTAGCCGCCGCTCACGTACATACAGATACATGATCATCGCTTGAGGTTGGGCAGACGCTACTTAGAGTTAGGTCCCGTTCGGTCGTCCTGTTGTCGTGGGTCCACTTTATTTAGATAACGCTGTCTACTACCACAACAGCGGTCTGTTCGGTTGTCGTCGTTATCGTAGTGTGTTATCGTATCCAAATAATACTTCTTGAACTAGCCAAAGTAGATACTTATTTAACCCTCGCTTCTATACCTAAATGTAGTATAGTGTACTAAAACTATAGTTATCTAGCAAACTCGATCCTTCTGCTTAGTTAGCAAGATATTACCTGTTTCTTAGCCCTACGTAATGCCGCAAGACCGCAATAAGGAAAGGCGTAGTAGTAGTAGTAGTAGTAACTCTAGTAAGAAGGTAGATCTAGCGGTAGGCGCCGGCGTACGTATATAGAAGGTCGCTCGAAGGAATACGTTGTTAGTAATTATTATAGTGTCGCTCTTAATCTAGCAGTACGTAGAGGTTATATCGAATAGCGTGCGGTCGGTATATACGGACGAGAATAAGGGCGAGCGGTTTATATACGAGTTACTAGACAGCGACGAGTAGCGTATATATCGATACTATCGGTTTACTCTAAGTCAGTTTCTCGAGCTATATAGTATAATCTTTAAGGATAGCGACACGGTTAAGCGCGGCGGAAAGGAGGTACCTATATTGTCTAATAGCAAGAATATTAGTAGCATTTAGAAGCTACTTATCTTCCTTAATATAGTAACGAAGGCGCGTCTATATCGCGATATTGCCGAAGACTTCTACTATTCTATATTAACTATATCGGAGATAGTCTACGAAGTGCTAGAAGCGCTCTTACTACTATATAAGAAGCTAGTTAAACTAGCGAGAGCGGAAGACTCGCTAGCGATAAAGCGACGAGGAGGCAAATATTAGCCGTTCTTTAAGAACTACGTCGGCGTACTCGATAGTACTAAAATACCGGCCTTTATTAGAACCGAAGAATAGCATCGTTTCCGCGACTATAAGGGTACTATATCGCAGAATGTATTAGCAGTAGTTAACTTTAACCGTTAGTTTATATTCGTTCTACCTAGATAGGAGGGCTTAGCGTACGATAGCACTATATTAAATAATGCTGTCTCGAGGCATAGATTCGGCGCTCTAGAAGGGAAATATTATCTCGCTAACGCTAGTTATAGTAATACTAATATCACCCTCGTACTATTTCGGAGCGTTAGATACTACCTAAAGGAGCAATACGAGGCTCTCGATAAGCTATAGAATAAGTACGAGCTGTTTAACCTACGGTATTCGTCTCTTCGTAACGTTGTCGAGCGGACCTTTAGTATTCTTAAACGACGGTTTAAGATCTTCTAAACAGCGCCGGAGTTTGACTATATTATACAGGTTAAACTAGTATATATATATACTACGCTCTATAACTTCCTAACTAAGAAGGGCAGTTTATACTAAAAGAAGATAGCTCTATAACGCGATAAGACCTGCTATTTTAATAGACGAGGGCCTAGTGTCGATAGAATGGATATTAACCGCGAGGTTAACGAGATAGAGGCCTTTAGAGACTTAATAAGCGAGGATATGTTCCTTAAATATCGAGGATATATAATAGTAAATAGTAACAATAAATACGAGAGCGAATAGATAGGTAAATAGGAGGACAGGGACACGGTAGTATATAGTAAATAGTACTAAAATCTAGCCTCTATCCTCTGCTTGCCCTATTCGTTGCCCTTCGTTATTATCTCGTCGGTTACCTCGAAATACTATACGTCTATTCTCGCTTAAAAGTTGAATAGTCTTAGCGTTTTAGTATAGATCTAAGAGAGGACGAAGTAGTCTAAGTAGAGTACGAAGCAGTAGGAGTAGAGGATTTAAAGCCCGTTTACTATAGCGTTTCCGATAGGGTCTCCTCTTCTAAACCGCTCTACTACTCCGCCGTTACTCCTACGTCCTCTTCTTTATTATCTCGACTAAATATCTTTACGATAATCTCTTTAATCTACTTAACCTGCTTATCCTTAGTACTTCTAAGAAACAACGATACCTCGCCCTTATTAATTAACTTCCTCGCTATAGCCCTACGATATCGCATTGCCGGCTAGCGGTCCGTAAAGGCCTTCGTTCTTAAGACGAGCGCGAGTCGCTCGTAAGCGTTAGGAGGTTGTTACGATAGTATCTTATTGCTTTCCGCGAGTTACTTAGCAATACTATCTATAGACGAGGATATCTGCGACGATACTGTCTTCCGCTTCTTCTCTTTCTCTTACCTAGTATAATTAAGGGCGGCGCGCTTCCTTAATACTAGGGCGCGACTTCCTTCGGTATAGCTATTCTTAGAAGACTCGCTTTCCGCCGTAGAAGGTGTCGGTAATAGCGACGGTAATAGCGACGACGACCCTCTTATTAGCGCATCTATACTAAGCGCGTACTTACTATTAGCAGCACTCTCGGAGAATAATAACCTTAGAGTCTCCTCGTTTACGAGAGGTTTATACCGGAATTTGCTATACTTCTTTATATTCGATAGTATAGTAAAGAACTCGTCTATTAAGGCCTTCTTAGCAACCGGTAATCTAGTCTTAGGGCACTTGCTCTATCTAGACTTAGTTATAAGCGCTATCTATAGCTTATAATCGTTCTATAGTATGTGCTTCTTACTATTTACCTTGTCCTTATTTACCTTCGCCCTCCGGTTATTAGGCGCGACCTTAGCGACCTTATTAACCGCTCGCTATATAGCATTAGGCTTAAAGCTACCCTCGAGGTCCCTCTAACTATTCGAACTGCTCTATAGCAGTAACGACAACAGCGCCTATAATATGCCCTCCGTCTAACTTAACGTCGCGCTATTAGCTCGAGAAGCCGCTAATCTACTACTTCTTCGACTAGCGATATTAATACGCGGTTCTAGCGTCTGCGAGCCCGGTAATATAGGATTACCTTGCGGCGTACTAAGGCGAGAATTTAGCGAAGAATAAGCCGGACTCGAAGGCGTAGGAGATAGCGAGAAAGAGTCGTTATTATAACCTAGACTTTAGCTCTAGTCGCTAGCTAAATCGAAGGGCGTAGACTCGTTAAATTGCGCTAATTGCTACTAGAAGAGGGCATTATTAATTAACTCGTTACTAGTAATAGCCTGCTACTAGAAGAGGGCATTATTAATTAACTCGTTACTAGTAATAGCCTGCTACTAGCTATCGGATAATATATTAGATAGATCTATAGTCTTCTACGGTCTATTCTACTATATATATCTAAACTAGTAAAGTCTTAGCGCTACGGCTTAGTAACACTACATCCTATAGGGGCTAATAATACGACAACTTAGCAACCGAACAGACACCTGTTATAGTAGTATTATAGCGCTAATTCTAACACGATATACAGTAGAGACAACGACCGTAGAAATCTACTATAATACTAGTTATCTATACTACGACAACCGGACGACCGAACGGGACCTTAGCATTGCAATGTCTAAGTAGCACAGGGCTGCTAGAACAGGCTACGACCTGCCTAGACACGTTTAAGGATAACATTGTCTCGAATCAATCTAGCCCTTCGCAGCCTAGAATCCTAGCGCGAGATCGTTAAGATCCTTATAGTATACGTAGGATATCTTTCGGTAGTTCTTTGTACGCGTCTAATTAATATAACAACCTTGCTATAAACCCTACATAGTTCCTACACCTCCTAGGTGCCCCGCCTCTACTAGCGAGCCGATAATATCTAACTAATAAAACTAAGAGCTAGGCGAGATAAGCCGATATTTGTTCGGGTTAGTCGGAAAGGACTCTATACGCTAGCGCTAAGTTGCAATTGCGACACTATAGTGTACCCTATAGTAGCTCGGCGTTAGATATGCAATTGCTAAATAGGGTCGATAAAAATAGTTCTATCCTTACTTACGTACGCATACGCGATCGCGAAGCTAGTCTTCGGCGTATAACTAGTGCGTCTAAGACGCGGCAGGTTCATAGCATCTGTAGGCACGACTAAGTAGTAAGGATTAGGGTCCCCGTATTATAGTTAGCTCGTAAAGTAGCGGTTTTCGCTAATAACGCGCTACCTGCTACGTAGAATTAGTTAAATTAGTAATGTTTAAGGTTAGCAAGGTGCCTTTATAAAGAATGCTATTATTAACTAATTGTTATATGCCAGTTAGCGTTATTAGCCGTTTAGTTGGTTAAGGAGGCCTCTTTAGGCAAGGATTCTACGTTCTAGTCGCCTTAGGCACGCGAGGGCCGCCGTAGTAACGAGAATCCGACTCTCTTCCTTAGTACACCTACGTATTAATAACAACGTATATAATACTATCGGACAAACGCATAAATAGAAGCGCTATTATCGACACTTAATCTCTCGTACTATTTATTAATATTAGTACGTTAGTTAGCATTCCGCATCCTCCGGCGTAAAGGGCCTCGAATCCGCCTACTATATCGAATATCTACTCTCGACCTATAATCGACCCTCTATAACCCTAACCCTCGCCTAACACCTTCGATTCGTACGCTATTCGACTTAACCGTACGACTCCTATCCGTAGCATATATTTATAGCCTCTACGCCGAGTTAAAGACCCTTAGTAGAAGGTTTAGGCCTTTACAAATAGCGCTAGATATACCTTTAACGAGTACCTCCGAGATATAGCTTCTAAGGCGAAGATGCGGATTACAAAGGAGCGCTATCTCTAACTAGTTATATTCTGTACCTCTACTAAGGACTAGATTAAACGATAACTAAACAGGAAGATAAGCTAGGAAGACTATAATCTGCGGTACTATATAAGGAACAGGTTTTACTAGAGTCCTAAAGACGAGAGGCTATATGCTATTAAGAAGGACCGTTCTTTATACAAGGTAGTGCAGGAATACGAGATGTTTAACGTTATAACGATTAAACACTACGAGGCAGGCTACTACGGTCGTAGAGCTATTAAGGCCCTTCTTAGGCGCAACTTCTATAGCATTACAAAGGAAGATATTGCTACGGCCTTATTATACTGTCAAATCTGCAACCTCCTTAAAGCGGCGCCTCTAAAGCGTATAGTACTAATTAAATATATACACTCTAGCAATATATACGACCGTGTCTAAGGCGACTTAGTAGACTTCTCGGACTAACCGGACGGCTCTTATCTGTATCTCTTCTACCTAAAGGACTACTGCACTAAATTCTGTCGAGTCTATGCCCTTTAAAGCAAGGAGGCCGAGAATGTAGCCTATTGTATCTACGACTATATCAACTCTTATAGAGCGCCGAGGCTATAGCAATTTAACAACGGCGGCGAGTTTAAAGGCGTATACGAGGCGCTTATTACTTCCTATAATACACTAATTGCTTACGGCGCTCTATATTACCCTAAGTCGCAAGGACTCGTTAAATAGGCTAACGGTATTATTAAGAAGCGCATCTCGGCTATTAAAATGGACCGTAGATTGAGAGGCTAGATTATCGCTGCCTAAGAGGCCGCTCGCATCTATAACGAGACCTTCTACACCGCTATTAAAATAACCCCCTTTGAGGCCTTCTTTAACCGTAACCCTACTAAGAAGCCGGACCTTCTATTAGCAGGTCTGCAGGCGGCTTTACAAGCCGCTAGTAACTATATAGAAGTCACTAGAAGCCTGTCTCCTATTCTAATAATAGGTGACGAGCTATTGCTATATAAGGCTGTTTTTGCTATAGGGGCGGCGGCTTGTAACAACGACGACGACACTACGAGTATTGTTACAGTCGCTATAGCCGTTACTAACGGTTACAATATCGTATTCGACGAAGACAACCGACTAGTAATTGAATTAGACACATACGCGCCTACTACTATACTAGCGACTATTACAGCAGCGGAAGTTAACCCTTTATAGCCTAGATACGACGTGCCTTACTATAACGAGATAGACCGCCGCCGCACTGTCTATAAGTCTAGTGCTAGTGTTGTCTACGAGATTAACGATAGTTAGCGCATTCTATAGGACTTGATCTCGTTAAACTAGCGCTCCGCTAACGCTAATTATAATAGGGCCTATACTAGCAATAGTAAGGCAAGGACCTTCGAAGTTAGTAACCTTATTAGTATAGCAATCTAGAAGGAATACCTTGTCAAGTTTGGCCCTCGAGTAGTTATTATCTAGATAATAGAAGCCGCTTAAGATAGGCCTAATTACTATCGATTAATAACTCCTTAGGGTAAGCTAAAGGGTTAGTAGCATATACGGTACCTATTGCTAACAGAGGGCTATTTATTCGCTATCTATAAAGACTGCGAGTCTAAGGTTATTAGTATAGCGGAGGCTTCTCGAATGCAGGTAAGGGTGCCTATTAGCACTGTCTACGAGTGCCGTTATAAGGGCTCTTATAATAACAACTATTGTAGCTACCGTAAACGAGGTGTTCCTTATTCTAAGCTATGCTACGGTTACGGCAACTATTGCAATAATATAGACGACTACGGCCTTCTAAACGACTATAAAGCGCCTGCCTTAGTTACTAACGACGACGATAAGATAGCCGCTGTCTAACAACCTAGCTCTGCGCTACTAGCAGAGGCAATACCTAGAGCTACTATAGAAGGGCTAGACCTCGCTGCCTCTACGCCTACGCAACTAACACCTACGCCTACTATAGTCTAGCGGACCTAGTCTTCTACTAATCTACTAGTTGCTACTAAATCTCCGCGTAGAAGAGGTTAGCGGAAGAAGACCGTATCTAAGAAGGCGCAGTCGTTAAGGGAGCAAGTGCCTAAGGGCGTATAAAAGAGAAGGAGGGCGAGGGCCTAGTAGTAAGTGCTAGAAGGGGACGGAAGTAATAGAATAGAACTCCGAGCAGCAGTCTGTTACTACATTTGTTAGGGGATATTAGTCTTAGCGTTTGTATAGGTCTTCTCGGTCCTTAGTTAGGCTTCTTTAATAAGCCGTAGAGGGTGTATAAGGGCCTAGTTGTTGTCGCTATTCGGAGCCAAATTCAAGCTAGCTTCGAGGCGGCTTCGAGCGACAATATTAACACAACTATAGCACCTGTACTATATATAAAATACACAGTCTCTATCTACTTATTAGTAGCTTCAATTTAGTCTATATATCGCGTTGTTATAGCCGTTTTGTCGCTTACAATAGTGTCGGCAGGCTAAGTAGCAAATTGCGACCGGATAGCTAACAAATCCGGCTCCTTATTATACACTAACAACTTAGTCAAATCCGCTATTCAATTAACCAAACAGGCTCTATATATCTACTTTACAGACAGGTTGTTATTGATTAAATCTATAGCAATTGCTTTACTAAATAGGCGCTATTTAATAAAAAAGCGTACTTAATAAACGGGTGATTATACCCGAAGCTTGTCGGCATTACAATCTTTTAAGAGAACTTATTTCTAATAGTCCGCACCGTTCGATATCGCATTAGACTAGCATTCGTACATGTATCGAGACTCTGTTCGTCCCTCGTTACCTAGAATAAATAGAGGGGTAGGAATTCCTCTAAACACGAAATAGCATGCCTATCTTGCGTAACTACGAGGAACATCTCAATTATCACGGGTTTCGGATGCCTTATAGCTCCGTCCCTCCTAACGGTTTCGCCTAGCACTAGGTTTATAATTACGCCTAAATCACTGCACTCGAGTGTAAACCTGTAGCCTTCGCTTAGTTTTTTTTATTAACTATCGTCGGTTAGGTATAATTTGTTTGAATAGGCTTGCGTTTTTTTGCAGTATCTCGTTTAGGAGTATAGACCGGTAAGTAAGTCGAAGATTGAGCGATTCTATTAGTGTAATCTAATATATAATCTAATCTATTACTAGAGTTGTGTTTATAAGTATACTAGAGTAGTGCTACTTCGACCCTGCTTCTATAGCAATAGGAAACGATCTTTCTTACTATATACTAAGTCCAACTTGTTAGTGCCGGTGCGGGGAGAACCCTGTACCTCTAAGAGAGGAACTATACCGCCATTTTGGTAGTTTTTGAATTATTTGTTCTCCTTCCAAGGCCTACAGTCCTCTAATATACAGTAGATATCGTATCGACGGTTTTCTAGTAGTATAGACCCTTCCGAGGTATTGTTGTCGTCCGCTATAGTAAAGAAAGCGCGCATTAACGACGACTAGCAAGGCTAACTAATCAATCTCTTTAAGAAGGGCTTTACTACTAAGCAGATCTGTGCCTTTGCAAAGCTTCTAATATTAGTTAGATTAGTGTATCGCTATTAAGAGAGATATCGCATAACTAGAGCGTTGTATCTAAAGAATACTAGCACTCGGCGTAGCTATAAGAACCTCTAACTTCTCGCTATAGAAGAGGAGTTTATACTCGGGTATCTCGACGATCGACCGGACGTATACTTTATAGAGATAATCCAAGCTCTTTAAGACGAATTTGTACGGCTACGGCTAGTAAATAAGGGCGGAAAGGGTGTAGTAGAGCTTCGGCCGTCTCTAATCGGTATAGTGTTAAAAAGGCACGGGTATACTCGAAAGGAGGTAAAGCGGGCGGCGAAGGAACGTAATCCGTTCTTAAGGGCTCTATAGACGATTAGGTGCGCTAAATGGCCGGTAGATCGACTAGTATTTATCGACGAGACTGCTAGCAATTAGAAGACAAGTTAGCGGAAGTATAGCTAGAGTCTAAAGGGTGTTATATACGTAGATCTCTAGTATACGAAGCGAGAAGTACGGTAGAGTATACTACCGGCCTTTACGGTTTATAGCTACTTGCTATATACCTACGTATACTAAGGATCGATTAATGCTAACTGTTTCTATACTTAGATTACTAAACAGGTGCTTCTATATCTCGAAGAAGGTCCGCTAATGATCTTTATAATAGATAATGCTAGTATTTACTATAGATTAAGGATTAAGCAGGCGATTCTCGATACTAGACATCGACTCGAGTACTTGCCGCCGTATAGTCCGGATTTGAACCCTATCGAGGGCAGTTTTAATCTGCTAAAGAAGACTATTAAAAGACACAGAAGTTAGCTGCCGAAGTTCTTTAGCTTTCAAGATTACTTACTATATTGTCTGCACCTATATCGAGGCCGCCGTACGCGTAAACTCTTCGCTTATACTAGATATAATGTCGAAGGGGTAGATTTGCCGTACGACGCTTCGCAATTCGAGTCGACCGCTAGTAACGCTTAGAATATAATAGCACTCGACCCGGAAGAGTCCTAATAGATATAATAGGCTTAGAACAATAAGCCGTTAGTACTAGATAATATAGAAGAGCTATATATATTATATAAAGAAGATAATAAGGAAGATAAGGAATAAGAGGTAGATTTTGACGACTTCGAGTAATATAACTAGTAGCGACTAGCGCGCGGCAAGCGCCGTAGGTAGAGATTCGAATAAATATATTCGAACGCTAGCTTTGCCTATCGCGCTTAGTGTTCTACAACTAACGCAGTATATTAATTAATTATATATAGGCTAAATGAGTGCTATTACCGCAAGAATCTCCCGCTTATTACAAGTTTATATATATTGTAGATGTATAAAGATTGCAGCCTAAACGAAGCTAAGAATTCTTAGAAATCCTCTCCCTCCTTAGCGGCGGCTACTTCCGCCGCTATAATCTTATCCTATTTCTTCCTTATAAACTCGACGATAGCTTTCTTTAATCTTAACCTCATTCTATCTACTTTATTAAGTGCCGCCGGCTAGTCGTCCTTTGTTAAGTTGCAGATAGTCTCTAGCGTCTAGCCTATACTAACGAAATAGGCGATATAAGGCCGTAGATAGTCGTAGTCCTAGAAATCGCGGTAAAGAGATACCTAGTCGAAGAATTCTACCGTTAGCTGTTCGCACTAGACGATATTGCGCGGCAGCATAACATTACGTAATCTAGTCTTAATAAGCGCTCGTCTAGGCGTACGAGAAGGCGTGCCTAGAATAACACCGCTGCCTCGCAATTTATTATCGATAATACGGCCGAGATCGTTACTAAAGTTGTTAAGGATAATCGGCTAAATTCTAGCACTTCTAGGCTTCCGAGGGGAGTTAGACTTACTACTACGGCGACCTCTTATCTTCCGGATAGCAGTCTTCTATATATTATTCTCGACCTTTCTCTTAATTAACTTAATCTCTAACCTTACCGGCAACCTGTCTTCGAGAGCGCTAGTTTGCTCGTTAACTTTCTACTCTCCGGAAGCTATAGCCTTATAGCTATCGATTATAGCGGCTTCGAAGAACGGAAAGTAATTCTCGCTATAATCCTTTAGCTTCTAGTTACGCTAGCACGCATACTTACTAGCCTTCTAGAAGTTACTATAGTCCTTTGTCGTATACAGAAAGTTACGGATAATCTAATAGTCGTACCGCTTCTAAGTCTCGAGTTTAGCTATTATAACGCCGGCGTTAGCAAGCTAAATTAAGGTTAGATTAGAAGCCGGTTTAACTAACTTTTTGCTGCCTAAAGATCTAGCTGCTACTGTCGCTTTAGGCTTCGTAAAGAAGTTAATATTAATAAAGACATTCTTGCGCGAGGCAAGCGCTAATCCTTTGCTAGTATCTAGAGCTTTACTATAGACCTCGTCGCTATTAATATTATCTCTAGCTTAATACTAATCGCTAGTAAACGCTGTTTTCTAACCGTCTGCTCTAGTACGGATAACGATACGAGTAAATGCCGCTAAGCTATATAACTTTGCTATCTTCGCTGTCTACGCGTATCCGTTCTAAGCTTCTTGTTTGTTAGCCGACAAAAACTTTACCGGCTTCGTTGCTATCGTCCGCGCCGCGCCCTTCTTCGTTATATTAAATATAGTCTACTATTCTTTATAATAGAAGGTCTCGTCTAAGAAAGAGCTAGGTTGAGTAATAGGAACGTTGCTAGCGGCAAGCGTAGCCTAGCTACTAGTAGTAGTAGCGGCCTCCTACGCGGCATTAAAAGAGGAGGATATAGAGGTCGCAGCGGAGGAAGAAACAGCCGTTTTTAGTAGCGCTATACCGCTATTATCCTCTGCCGGCAGTACTACGGTCTCCTTATTTAGTAGACCCGAGGGATTAACGATTAGGTTAGGCTCTTCTACGGTAGTCGCTTTGCTCTTCTTACCGCCGGAAGACCTACTCTTCGAGCTACTCTTTGCCTGCTAAGCCGTGTTAGCATTCCGTCTAATTAGCGGCGGACTAATAGCCTTCTCGAGAATATAGATTACCTTCTTTAGCGTAGAGACAATCAATTCGTCGTCTAATCGCGCTAGAGGCACGCCGGCAGTCGTACGAGTCGCTCTTATCGGCATTATTATTACAGTATAGCACTCGGAAACAGTTAGAATACGCGTACGGGGCTCGAACACACGATTATCCTCTACTCGACGACGACAATTGGGAAGAAACACGATAAAAACCACGTAAAAGTGCCCCTATTGCCTACCCCTATGCGGCTCAAGAGAGGAGGCGGCTCTGCGGACCGTACTGACAAGTTGGACTCAGCACATAGTAGCATCGAAGGGCATTTCTGCGCAGGCTTCAAGGTTGGAACAGCAACGTGATGCGTACTTCACCGTCTCCAGCTTCACTCAAACAGACACAGCAGAAATACGGAAGCAGGAGAGCGGTTTCAGAGTGCGATGGAGCAATTGACCGCCTGAAACACGCTATAAATACCCATTCTCAAATGAGACCCAGTGATAAATCCACGTCGCGTCCCCAGGTCAGCACTGCAAATCGCGTACACCATGTTCAATTTCTACAAGCTCGTTCCTATCCTCAAGTTTGCTTCCGCATTTATATTGGATCTATGCTCTGAGGAAGGGAGATGCCGCAGTGGTCGCGACCCACAGCATGCTTCCGTCTGCGCTTCAGGGTATTGGCAAGATATGCTCAGCGGCGTTTATGAATGTATAGATGGAGTTCTCGCCGTTCCAGTCAGACATGACTCTTCAATGACTATCATGCTGCCTGTATCGAGCTCACCGACCAGGTCAATTGCGACATCATCAGAATCCTCCTCTCCACTCAAGCCTACTACTCAACGACAGGATAGATATATAGAATACATTGGAGATGGCTCCGTCGAGCAAGGTTGGCCAAGATTTGAGGCTTGGATCGACTTCGAGGAACTGCGAGTTATCTCGGAATCTGCTGGTGAACAGTGCTTATACCTTGGCAGGTTCGAAATAAATCTCCCCGGCATCCGAGCAGCTTGCAACACCAATGAGAGACTCGAGAACAACTCCCCATCCGAGATCGCCGCTCTGAAATCCGTCATCTTGGCATCAAAATCAGCCTCTTTGGATCCTCGTTTCGTCTTCGCCATACTGATGCAGGAATCGCACGGATGTGTACGCGTAAAGTCAACTCAAAACAGAGGTTCCTGGAACATTGGCATGATGCAGAGTCATGCAGGGTGAGTGGAACTCGGATCCAGAGAAGTTTAGTGTGCTCATAGTACCTGCAGCCACGGAACCTGCAACAGAAACCAGGCAGCTTTTGGCGAGCCAAGTTTCGAAGCCAGTAAAGTCAGCGTCCCATGCCCTCTGGAGGCTATTGCTCGGATGATAAGAGATGGAACGGAGGGCACTAGTGCAGGCCCAGGGTTGCAACAAATGATCCTGAGTGATCAACGTCACGATGTGTCCCGTTGGTATCGCACAGCGAGGACATACAACTCAGGAAGCGTCGACCTCAGTGGAAGGCTAGAAGTTACAAGCTGCTGCACAAAATCCTACGCCAGCGACATTGCAAACAGGCTGCTAGGTTGGACAGGCTCTAGGTGAGTTACAAAGTCAGCACGAAAGCCCATGTCGATAATTAGTATAGAGGTCCGTCCACAAAAAAGACGACAAGCGGGACAGATGAGATGAACACCGGGTGGGTGACCATGTATACTCCATCTAGAGACCCGGACCATCCTAGTAAGCACCCTAAGAGAAATCGACACGACATCACTGATGAGTTGCAAGACGCCTGCGGCGGACTCGCGAGTGAAAAAGACAACGTGGTGGCTGTTGCGAGCGATTGGTTTACAACGACAAATTCGAATGATGATCCTATTTGTGATGTGAATGGCGGTAGGCAAATCCGGGCTTGGTTGAACGGAACGAGTGTCACTGTTCGTGTTATAGATCGATGCCGTGTGTGCGGTAAAGGAGACCTCGACCTCTCTCTTACTCCCTTCAGAAAGCTCACTGGAGATTTTACCGGGAAATATCACAACGTAGAATGGGAATTCATGCAGGCTGTGTGACGTGTATGCCTGGTCCGGTAGCTTACTCAAAACGGATTAAAGGTGAGCCTTGTTACCACTGTGACTGGACCGCACTACTAACCAGGTGAGCAAGACAAAGCGAGCGTCAGCCCCACCGAACCGTAAGACAAGCTGAAACATCTACGTTTTTGGATAAATTATGCCAAATGTGGTCAGTCATATGCGATGATGTATATAGAGAGAACGAGCGTGGCGACAATACACTGCAGATCATGTCATCATGGTCACTCCAAGCACCGAGAAAGGTGGCCTCGGTCCCATACCCGAGCTTGTCCTTGAATGTGTAGATGGCGTACGTATCAAGACAGGTTAGTTGTGTGACGGGATTACATCTTCGATGATTAACGATGCAACAGGACCAGAATTTGTCATGGCCTCTGACCATTTTCGTGCGTATCTTCGCACTCAACAGCCGAAAGCAGTGGCTGCTTCTACTAAGGTAAGCCATCAAACATAGAGTGTAGGCAGGAGATGACGTGTAGGAGTAGGCAACATCATTCATCGTGACACAAGCTACACACTGGCTTCAGAAACATACGCCAGTAAACTTGCCGGAGTCACCCTGGTGGGAGAAGACAGAAGAGCTCAGCATTCCACAGAACGATCTCTATCTTCCATGTGACTTTGAGCAGCTCCTGCAGATCTTCGACCTGGCAAGAAACTTTGCAATTGAGCCCTTAATCAGGGTGACAACTCATCAACTCTGGAATGATGTTCCCGACTTCTCCAGCCTGTGTAAGTTGAATGAGATGTTTCTGCAGGGAATCATTCAACGTACTCCATATCATGAGGGTCCTATCTTCGAAGAGACATTGCCCATGGTCCCTAGTCTTCTTCAGCTACAGAAGCTGGGAGTATTCACAGATGGAAGTCGACCATACGGAATTGTGACCTACGAGGTAGACGATGAGGGCAAGGAGTGGTTCTACGAGCAAAGGCCATGCCTTGATTTCATCATGACTACTCACAACGACAATTATAAGAAGCTTTTTGATGGTCTCCAGAAACGTCCAGAGATTGTCATGCTAGCATGGACAGTGAATCCCCCGCAGAGATTTCCATTCCAGGAAAAGTCATCAAATGATGAGAGCGCTTTTCTATTCAACAATTTGGAGGCCTTTCGAGTTGTGAACAGTTCGGGGGGTTATCAAGAGGATCCGAGCACCTTGGAGTACGAATTTGATCCCGACAACGATCCCGAGTTCCGTCATCAGAGTATGAGGAAGTTTGATCCAGTATTCTTTAGATTGAAAGCAAGAGATTGGAAGGTGAATGTGGTTGATCTAGTACTCGACGTCGCTCTAGCTATGTAGACCTCTTCCAGTCGTATAGAACGCAACACTCGGTCATAGTAGAATGGTCTATAATCGAATGCTCATGATCAACTTTCAATTTTCCAAATATCCAGGAAGTCAACCATTCGGCGGGATGAAGGTCAAAGGATGGATGTCTATTGTATGACACAGTGATAGCCGTAGGCCTACCATTCTTTCTGCTCTCTGAAGTCCGCAAGTAGGAAAGTAGATGTAAAACAAGATGTTACCTGATAGGCACTTTGGAGGCTAAGGACCCAAACAACTTGCCTGGGACTCGGATCTGGAGACAAGAAATAGGTACAACAGATTTTGCCGAACGTTCGATCACTATATTTAGCTATTGATTGCAGCCCTTGACTTTAAATGTTCAAATATCGACCACTTTCCAAACGCTGTGAGCTACACAATGCCTGACTACACTGTTGTTGTGATCCTATATGGTCAGTAGACAAGGCAAAGGAAGATACTCCTAGTGCTCTTACACACCTTTTCGGTAAGCGGCACCTTTCATTGGAGATTCCTTGAAGCCCTCTCATTGGACTCTTGCTACATGAGTTCTAGCGATCACCATCTTAGGGAGGGATCTGTAATTACATTCCTGCACAATGCCGAATCTTCCGATGAGTATTCGGCTACTGAGAAGTGAGCAGGTGCCAAGTTGTGAGACCTCTGTTGGATGTAAGCGTAGAAAGCGGCAAAGTAAGTCTTAGATGCAAAACAGGAATGTGAAACTCTTGAACAGATAGTGCTTCTTTCAGCCATTCTAAGGCAGTACCAGTCCACAAGTCCCGAAACGAGGCAATGTACTCCTGTCTAGGATGTCTAGTCCTAGATTCAGCTCTCTCGTACGCTTATGTACAAGGCCTAACTATATATCTAACGAGTGTTCTAATAGAGTTCTAACCTTTCTAGATTGCAACCTAACATGCCCGTCTGGCATTAATCTCTACTTAAGTGTTCGCTCTAGTCTAGTAATCGTCGCTTAGGATCTCTCTCGAATAGCTAACACTTAATAGCCGGTATAGCTTGCTCTAGTAGCGAGTACACGCCTATTAAAATTCTTCGATATCGTCTCCGTAGGCCGGAGCCGCTAATAGTTCTACTAGCTAGTCCCAACGTTATGTTACTTTTGCGCTAGTATCTATAGACATTGCTGTCGCAAATTCTATAGTAAATTCTCCGCGTAGGTCTAGTCGTATCCTAGGTACCAACTCGCCGTACGCACTTACTAACGACGCTTCTCGGAGAATACTAACTAGAGCTAGCGTACGTAGTCGGGCACCAAACTCTACTATAGACTCTCTACGTAGGTTAAACCGACTAGCCGCGAACTTACCGAACGTTTACGGCGAGGCAGGCTTTAAAAGACTAGCTACGAGAGAGAATCGAAGATACATTAATCGTAGGGACAATACTAACAGCAATCTAGAGGTCCTAAACATTAGACCTATTCCTATAGAAATGGCTGATAGTGCTGTAGGCCTAATGCTACTAGACACTAGACCTAGGTTATTAACAAGTAATAATGTCGTAAATAATCGAGCTAAGGCTACCGTACCCGTTCCGAGCCGTTCTAAGGGACACCTAGCGATAGAATACAATGCCGAAGCATCGAACGATTATGCTATACTTGATATAACTAATGTATTCAGAAGAGGGCTAATCTATAGGAAGCCTAAAGATAAAGTGCGCAGTTTCAGCCTTAGGCATTATGCACGTAATACTACATATACTACACACTTTAAGTTACCCCCTTATCGCGTACATATAGCCAAACAAAGCAAACAAAGGGGTATTAGGTATAGAAACAACTAGACCACTTTCAGGCTATTATAACAAAGCAATCTAATAAACAAACAAACAAACATGTCGCCGACCTAGGACTAATACTACCCCTAGGGTGTTATTAGCAAACTATCTATTTAGTACTTAGTAGTAGGCTAAGCGGCGCTCTTAATCGCAGCCTTATAATCTACTAAGTTCAACTACTAAACAAAGCGACTATACTTAAGCTTATTAAGCGGCTTAGTAAAGCTATTAGCGATCTAGTCGTACGTACTAATCTAGGTAATAGCGATAGTGCTATTAGCGATCTTCTCGCGGATATAGTAGACTCTAGCGTCTATATGCTTAGTACGGCTATCGATACTCGTCGACTAAGTAATAGCGATTACTAACTAATTATCCTCGTATAGCGTAATAGGCTTAATAGTGCCCTTATAACTAATTTCCTCTAACAACCGAGCTAGAGTAACAGCTTCTTTAGCGCTAGTTATTAACTAAACATACTTAGCCTCTATAGACGACAGAGTAACTAAGGTCTAGCGGCCGGACTTATATAATAGAGGTCCGCCGGCAATAGTAAAGTAGAAGCCTCCTATAGAGCGACGAGTAATCGGATTATTAGCTTAGGAAGCGTTATAGTATCTAACAAAGTTAAGCTCGTTCTTATTCTATATACCTCGGAAGTACAAGTTACGGCTTAGAGTGCTAACTAGGTACTTAATAAGCTAAAGAAGCGCGGCATAGTGCTTCTTAGTCGGGTTGGAAATGTATCGTAACAGTAGGCCTATAGTATAGCAAGTATTAGGTCGTGTAATTATAGCTAGCTATAGCGCTTTACTAACACCTTCCTAATACTAAGTCTTGAAGGCAGCGCTAGTAGTGTAGCCCTTAGGTGTACGCTAAATCGATGTCTTAACGTATCGAGGTGCTATTAGTATAGTAGGAGCTACTCGGCCCTATATGCTATACTTCTCGCTAAGCCTATTTAAATAGGCATCCTAAACGACGTAAATAGTACGCTAGTCGCGGTTACGAATGATCCGCATACTAAGATAGTAGTGCAGGTCGCCTAGCTCTCGTATACTAAAACGGTCCTTTAGCAACTAAGCTACTGCCTCTAGTGCTAATAGAGTGTAGGCGATAATAATTATGTCGTCGATATAGATAACAATAATAGAGCCGCTAACAACGTGTTTAAACACACACATATTAGCTATTATTAGCACAAAGTCTAGGCTCTTTAGGTACTTCCGAAGCTCTTCGTACTACAGCATTAGTAACTGCTTCAAACTATATAGTGCCTTTAACAATAGGCAAACTATGCCCTTTCTACGGTCCTTAAAGCCGTGTAGTTGTTCGACGTAGATCTTATACTTGTTACCGATAAGCGCATTAAGGAAAGCCGTTAGAATATCGTATTGCTTAGCCTCTAGGTCGTAATAGGCGATTAAGCTAAATAGTGCTCGCAGCGTAGACGGCTTAGCGATAGCTGTATAGGTCTTATTATAGTCCTGTCCCTCAACCTAAGTAAAGCTACGGACAACCTATCGAGCCTTAAACCGGCTTACCTTGCTATTAGCGTTACGCTTAATAGTAAACACCTATCGACTACGGATAACCTTGCGACCTTTAGGTACTTCTAGTCGAGAAATATGTACCTATATATAGTTGTCTATTAATAACTTGTATTCAGCCTTATAGGCCTCCTTCTATTATAGCTAATACTGCGACTCCTTAGCGGCCTTAAAGCTCTTCGGAATTGGAATAGTATCGTTAGGCTTCTGTTTAGCAATATAGTAGGCGGCTATAAAGCCCTTTATATAGGCTATCGGCATGTTAGTAAGGGTGCGGCGTTCTTTGCGATAGAGAGCGCCTATGTCGGCTAGATAACTACGTAGCAGTTTACGAGCGCTCTTATTGCTTCGTATCTTACGTATAGAGCGACTACTAGTCTTAGTCGGCCGCTTAAACTTAGGCAACTAACTAGGTTCGCCCTTCTTAGCCTATAGATTATATGCAGGCTGTTCCTTAGCGGATTAGAAACCATCCTTATTACTTAATAGAGGTTAAATAGCCGGCAGGTCGTCCTCGTTTAGTAGTAGATTAGCAACCTAGTCTGCTACTTCGGTATTTAGCTCTTCCGTAGGTGCGTCTTATTAAGCCGGAAGCTACTAGACTATACTAGCTGCTTCTGTAGGTGTAATCTTATTCGTCGTGCTATTAAACAAAGCCGGCATAATAGACTCAATAGTAATAAACTAGCTCTTAGACAGGTTATTAGGGTTAGTATATAGCGCTATACTATTAGGTAGTAAGAGCTTACTAGATTCAATAAACTAGACATCCTTTAAAGTAACTACCTTGTACTTAATTAGCAGGTAGATCATATATTTGCCGGAGTCTACCGAGTGCTTAGCATAGCTAACAAGCTTGCTAACAAGACTACGACTGTCGAGCTTCTTACTACGAGCAACGTTATAATCATAGACAATAGCTATACAGCTATAGGTACGCAGGTGCTAAGCGCGTAGCTACGTGCGTAACTAATTTAGCTCCTTAGCAATAATAGTATATAGACTATCTCTACCGAATGACTAGCTTAGTATAATATTAAGGACATGCGTAGTAGCGCTAACAGCGTGTAGCTATAGAGCTTTTAGCAGGTTAGTATATAGCATTATCTTCCGAGTAGTCGAATATATAATGTAATTGCTAACCTTAGTAAGACCGTTCTGTATAGAAGAATAAGGAGCTATAACCTGCAGTACAATGCCCTAATTACGAGCCTAGCTTAATAGCTAATTTCCGCCGTATTTACCCCCTCTATCGAGGCGGTAGATTAGGATCGAATAGCTAGTTTATATACGGACGTGTATACGATGTTCCTTAATAGCTACTGCAGCCCCTAACTTAAGTAAGCTAGCATACTCGTAACGATAGCCTAACTTAGCGTATATAAACAGCGTGAAATATCGCTCCTATAATAGGCTAGGGTTGGTAATAGTAACTATATCTACATAGACAATGTAGTAGATCGTAGATAGTCGAAGGCGTAGCAGGCGGTTATATTCCTTATATGCTATTACTATTCGACAAGCAATGCAGTTACGGAAGTTCTTCTTGCCTCTAATAATAACAATCTAACTATTAGCCTCTATCTAAAGGAGCTTGCTATAGTAAATATAACTATAGCGCAGGTGCTACTTATCTATAGTGCCTACCGGCACCCCCTTCTTCGATAGAAGCGTAACAGCCTATTGTCTAGAGGTAGGTATAAGTAGAAAGGGAAGGCTATCCTTGCGGTAGGTTTGAGCGATAGTAACCTTATTGCTCTTAGCATTATATACAAACAAGACTCGCTTGTTATTACGGTAGAAACAGCCCTTGTCGGCTAACTTCTCGGTAGACAGAAGGTTAGCTACTAGACCTGGAACATATAGCGTTTTAGATAGCCGTAGTGTACTAATAGCACTATGCTTATTAACTACCTTAGTACTAGCAACGCTAATAAGCGTAGCGTGCTTAGTATTGCTACTAAAGCGTATAGGAATGCTACAACCCTCGTATTCTATAAGAAGCGAGGCATTATTAACTATGTACATACTAGTACCCGAGTCTACGACCTAGTTAGTAGTACGTATAGCAGCAGTTAGTGCCGTAGAAGCCTAGTCGCTAACAGTAATAGTAGCATTAAAAGACTATTAGTAACTAGTCGTAGGCGGCGCTATATCCGTCCGAGGATCGTTATAGAATAAGGATAGTGTCCTATTAGTATACAAACCCTATAGAGCCGTAGCAGGCGGAGCTAGCGGCGGTTGCTATTGCTAAGTAGTTAGTATACGCTACTGCTTCTTCTTAGCCTTCTACTGTTTACGTCGCTATCGATCTTCTTCCTTTAAATATAGATATTTGTTATAGCAGCGGTTAGAAGGGTGCGACCCCTAACAATAGGCGCACTTCTTACGGTTAGACTAATAACTATTCTAGTTGCTTCTACCGTAGCCTCGACTATTGTTATTGTTATTTCCGCGGCTACTACGACCGCTACGGTTCGAGTTACCTCGACCGCTATTGTTGTTGCTATTGCTACCTTGCTATTATAGTTAGCGCTAAAGACTAAAGAAGCTATTGTATTAGGCCTAGTTTAATTAAGCTACATTCTTATTAAGCAACGCGCTAATAATATTGTTAAGGGTACTATTATTAATAGTATACTCTAAGGCGCGCATCTGCTTACGTCGCATCTATGCGAAAGCCTCGTAGAATAGTGCGATTTGTATAATAAACATATAAACAGCCTAGTATTAACTAATAGCTAATTTAGTGTCCTTTAAGGCACCGAGCTTCTTCTTATATTCGTTATAGAACTTCTTAACATCCTTGCTATCGTAGCGAAGGGTAATGTAGTCCTAGAAGAGCATAAATTTAGTAGACCTACCTTTACTAGTATACTTCTTATATAGATAACTCTATACTGCCTAGGAGGTATCGAGTCTAAGTAACGACTACTAAATCTCCGATATATAGTTAGCGAATATCTACGTACGTGCTAACTAGTCCTTTGCCTCCTATTTATCTTAGCGGTCTTTAAATTGCTCCTATATTTTAGTAGATAACAGCTTAACTTTAGGCTTTAGGCGGGTCCTCTAGATATAGCGCTATACCTATATGCCTTTAAGGGTACCCTTAGCGGCGTAGGCCTATGCTAGATAATTCTCCTTGTTCTTTAGCTTAGGAATATTGCTTATATAAGCGTTAGCGGTAGTAGGGGGAGCTATTACTAATAGCGACGGCGATAATATAGAAAGAGACTATAGACTTGTCTTAAGAATGTAACGAGGCCGCCGATAGGCGCGCCTATATCGTACTAGTATAGCGGACAGCCGATACTATTGTTATGTAACCGACTCGAGTTAGGACTAGCACCTACTAGAATACTTAAAGGCGGCGGTAGCAACGATAGTATTAGCGCAATTTTTAGTAACGAGCGCTAGCTACGTAGCAGTCGGAGTGACTATTAGAATACGTGTTATATGCGTTAGAAACGCAGGGGGCTCATAACCACTTAATGTAACTAATGTGTTCAGAAGAGGGCTAATCTGTGGGAAGCCTGAAGATGAAGTGCGCAGTTTCAGCCTCAGGCATCATGCACGTGATACCACACACACCACACACTTCAAGTGCCATACATCCAGCAGATAGTCCTGCGGAGGCTACAGCACCTTCTGAAGCCGGTCTCGGTTCAGAAGTTTCGCAAGCACAGATAAATAACAACAATTTCGAGGTTTCCGGAGATCGAGACGCAGGTGGCAACCATTTGCCTATTGAAGGCGAGCCAATGACTGGCACTGTGTTCGAGCACTCGATGTCATCCAGGTGTCCCGATGCTTTGACGCCTGAGGGGGAATCATTCATCGTGCACAAGCTCGGACCTGACGTAGGCCCGTTCAGGATGCATCCTAACTACAACCACGTTGAGTCCGCCATCTGGGCCCATGGCCATCGTGCTTTGGGCTGTTTGCTTAACGATCCAGACAGTAGGGACTTCATCGCAATTGTAAGGGCATGGATGATGGTGGCAGGAGAGATGTTTCCTCCTGAATGGCCAGGTCTGGAAGTACCCTTCCAACTAGCATTTTATCAACCAGAGTTCCAAACGATTCGTCGCTGGCGGACTGAGCCCGATCCGGTACTTAGGCAATTACAGCTCCGCGTCAGTGCCGAAAAATTGATGAATGAGTGGGCGCACAGGTTTCCGGTGCCCGAGAGTGATCCCCATGACTGGACATTTGGTGTCGCAGCACAAGCACCTTCCGAGACTGGTAACCTTGCGGATCTCGGCACACGGTCTGGAGGGCTGTCGTATCTTGAGTACCATAATCGCGTGTTTTTCGTTGATCGAGGTAGGACAGATGGGGAGCATGGCGAAATTGTGGGATGGCGGCGGCAGGGCCGGGGATTCCAGTTCGCGATCAACTTTGCTCGTCAACAAAGCAACCACTACATGCTGATCAAATGCAGCTACTTTGGCAGAGGCTCTGGTATGGGCAAGCTTCCGAAACATACAACCAAGAACGTTACACGTCTTTCGACTTTCCGACGTGGCAGCAGCGTACGAAAATCGTTATGGGGTCAAAGCTGCCCTGGAAGAGTGGAGAAATTTAGCAAGGCAGGAGGATAGAGAGTGCTTCAGATGGTACTCAGTATCACGAGAGGCGACGCCAGCTAGCGAAGCACCTACAGCCCAGTGGAATGATGTGACACGGTCAGCTCGTGCAACGACCGAGCCACGGCAGGCTACAACAGATGGAACGGCTTCGGCCACCCCTCAATCAGAGTCCGACCAATCTCCAGAACAAATAGCGCCTTCGACTTCCAGAGCGGGAGAGACCGAAGGTCAGCAGGCGACAATTACGGTGGAGAACCTCCTCGACCGCCTCAACGATCTGCAGCAGGCTATTGCCAGAATGCCTCGACAGCCTATGGGTGGTACTTCTCGCGTGGCTGGTTTGCAGGCACAGGCCAGGATGCGGAACGCGTTGGCGGCTGTCTCGACGAACACGCAGCCTAACTCCAATGAAGGTTAGTCTGGCGGCGAATCCTCTTTTGAATGCATGCTCACAAGCCAAGGCTCAGAGTCCGATTCTGCCTGTATCGTGTGTGCTGAAGAGTTTCGTACCATTGGACGTAGATATGTTGAGCTGCCATGCCGCCATGGATTTTGTGAGGTCTGTGTTCCGCGCCTTGATCGCTGCCCGATATGCAGAAGGGACGTCCAGACCGGACGGCCGCAAGAAGTAACGTTACAGCCGGAACTGCCGGTAGATGAGCTTGAGGACATTGTGCGCGCCGTCCATCCCCAGGAAATGGAAACCGGAGAAGGTTAGCAAATGCGGCCGACAGACTTGGTGCCATAGCAGGACTCAAATTGCAAATTTTCAGTCAATCTTCGTATATTCCTCGAAATTGACACCACGGTAGTCGAGAAGGACTGATGCAGTCCGCAAGCTTCCGTTCTTATTGTGCGTTTTCGGAGCAAAACGCCCACGTGGGAGGTTTCTAGGGGTAAGCATTTCAGGACATTGTGCTGTGACCTTTCTCGGAAGAGGATAGCTTTGATCCTACGGCAGGTCAACACTGTGGAAATGATTAGTGTGATGACGGGTGACTTACAATTTGCTCTTGTGACGGTGGCCAGCCGTGGTGTTCGTGCGATGTATACACATAGAACTGTCCACGGCGCTGAACCACAAGATATACCTGCACTTTGCACAGCATTGCCAATTCGTGCGCCTTTTTGCGAAGACCCATGTTGCGTTTGTAGAATTGATTTTTGACTCGTACGTCTTCCTTCACGCCCAACACCTGTTCTCTCACCAATCTTCGCTGGCATGGAGTCATATCGGGTGAGAGCAGAGTACTTTGCGTAGTTCCATGAAGACCAATGCTCTCATTCAACCGTTCGGCCGGCCTGCATCCGGATTCCCAGGCATAGATTTGGTTCATGACCAGCGTGCCAGCGATCAATTACATTCAAGGCCCTTCTGACAGCCTCTCGGGATGCAGAGCCTTCATGATAGGTTGGGTGTTGTTCGGTAGTAGCGATCGTCTCCGTGCGCAGAATGTCATACTTTTGTATACCAAGTCTCCCGCTCTCCTGATAGATCCAAGACTCAAATCCCTTCTGAAAGACGTCCACATCGTTGCTTGAGTGTCCAGTTCGCACCGTGCTTGCTATAACAGCGTCGTCGCACACGATCGCATAGTACAGTTGAAGTTCATACTGTTCGTTCATGGAGCCTGCTTCCTCCTCTTCTGCTTCCTCCTCACTGCTCTCTGTATGGTAATCGCCATCAGTCGAAGGTCCTGGTTGGCTATGTCTTTCCGGATATGATCCCATAGCATCGATGAGATGGGAATGGTGCTTGGGATTGCCCAAAGGATGCTCGACAGAACGACCGCGATGGGTAGTGCGATTTGGTGTCTTCCGCCGTTCGACTCGTGACTTCGAAATCTTTGAATCACGCTCAGAAAGCCTCATGGTGAAAGACAGACATCTTGGAAGGACAACTGATCTGCACAAGCTTTGTTGTGTAGTTTTGCGACGGCCATGTCACCCCATGATAGGGAGGTCTGGCAAACAGAAATTCCCTGTAGCATGTGCGAAAAGGGGCGAGACGTGGCCACAATCGTACTGTATATAACCAGGAAGCATGATAGTAGTAAACTCAGTCAGGGTTCTTGGCGGCCTTCCGCTCCTATCAACACGAACGACGATCCCATGGTCCGTTTTCACCGTCAGGAGGTAGATCGGGCGTCGAAAACATCCTCACGCAGAACATCAATTTGGACTCGCGCACGTGCACAGTCAGAGTGTTCTGTGTTGATCTCTGGGTCGCATACAAGTCTTTCCACATTGTGCGTCCTCGGAGTCATAATCCCGTGCTTCAGCAATGCATTCATCGGCAAGCCAAGGGTTCCTGATGCTACCATTCTCTGCGTTCTTTCTTACTTCTGTGCGACCGCCGCATACCGTACACATGCTGTACGCTGTCCTCGCAACCTTACATCCACAAAATGTCCTCCCATAAAGCGGCACAATGGATGATGTCGGCCGTATCACCTCCAATCTTGATCCGATGATAGAGTTCTGGAAACTCGCGAACTGCTCTGCTAGTCGGATGTGCTCGTAGTGGAGATCGAGCGAGGTCAAGCGATATGCGGGGATAGCACGGAAACAGACGCAGAAGGCACTATGAAGCAATCAGAACATGGAAAACTGCCACTCAAAAGTCTGCCGCACCTAACTACACATGTGCCCTGCGATGCGCTCCGATCGGGTGTTCATGTGCGAGGCCATAGCCTGTAGCAACTTTCGAATCACAATTGAGGGCTCAGCCGGAACGGGCATGTATGCGTTCGCAGACTAGATGTTATGAAGCCCCACGAAGCTGAAGCCGTCCCGGGAGGAGTGGAATACATACTTCGAAGCCGGCTGCTCTGCGCTGTTGTATGGAGTTGGCGTCATGTAGGAGTTCCGTGCACTGTTTCCGCGTGGTTCTGAAGATGCTGCCGGCCCGACAGCGTAGCTCCACACAGAGGGTGTGGGCATATGAGCTTCTCGTCCGGGAGATGCCTAAGGTGTTTCCGGTGAAAGTGTATTTTGAGTCTGGTACGATCACAGAACTGCTTTTGGCGCTGCTCAACAGCGAGTCCCTCACGACCAAGGCAGAAGATGCATTGTGTCGGGGCACACCGCATCGACAGCTTGAGCGCGACGCTCGCCTCAGGTACACTGCTTGCTGCGACATTCCTCGGTCGACAAGCCCGTCTAACAGCAGGCTCTTGCACAGCACAAAGCGCCGCAAGAGCATTGATCGCCTCACATCGTCGCTTAACTTCTTCCGCGTATAACGTCTGTTGCGCCGAAGTCGCGAAGGCAAAGACAGCCGAGAAAGCTCGCTGCCGCGCGTGACTCAGCGGCGGCGACAGCTGAGCACTGTCTGTCGGAGAGGCGGATGCCTCTGAGGTCTGCAATTGATATCGGATGTCGGCGACAGCCTGCTTCCTCGTGAACTGTTTGCGCGCCGTATTCAGCTTCTCAGCCCTCAACAACCTCTTGTGTTTGCAACATGCGCTTACAGCCTCGGCATGCTGAGCATGCAGAGACGTGCCTTTCGCCTTAGCTAGCGTACCATAGCGCTGCTTAATACTCTGCATAAGGTTCTTACGGTGTGTGACAAGGCGCTTTGTCTCTGTATGGCTTTCAATTTCAGCGTGCTGCTGGTCGGTCAGAGCGCGCGGACGGCGGGTGTCAATGGTCCGCGTCATACCAGTCGCTGTCCGCATGAGCTGGACTTGGGGTTGCAAGCCCTGATATATAGCGTTGGTATCTTGCCCGATGTGCCGGGAAAGATAATTGTGTTGGTAGACATGGCCGTTCTGATGTTGAAGAATCTGGTTTCGCTGAGAGTCACTAATATAGACTATTATCCCGGATCAGTAAGCATAAAGCCACCGAAGTTCATTGCTCACGTACTGCTAGTACAGCAAATTGATTGCTGCAGTGAGACTGTTAGTAAGCTTGGCTTCTGCCGCAGTCATATAGGCCACTTACGCATCTTTCTCGCCTAAAAAGCTCTTAGTATAGGCAAAGGTGAATTTCACAACGACCCGAGGTGGACTATCGCGCGGAGTGTTAGACTCCCGGATCAGTTCAACTGCGATGTCTCCGTAGCGGACATTCACGAGGGCTTGCGGCCGTTGACCTGACAAGCCCGCGAGGTGCAAAATCAGCGCAAATTGTACCCGCTGCCGTTCATGATTAAACTTAACGTCTGGCGATTCCCATAGTGTTCTCAGTAGCTCAAACTGCTCTTCCACGCGCGCGATGCCTTTCTCGCGTTTTCGTGTCTCTAGCCCGTACTGTGAGGTGATTCTGGCGCGAACCTAGTAGCAAAATCAGTATCAGTGGAAGGTGGGCATGAGTGTACCTTGCATACCGAGACCATCTGGAGCTTCAGCTCTATTGGAAAGTGCACATCTCCCGACTCTTGCCTGTAGAGCATTTGAAACGTGTTCCAGCGCGTTTGCAATGTGGATGCGTACGCGATTCTGGAGTTTTCCACAAGCCACTCAAAGAAGGGGTGGATTCGGCTAATGTCGAGGCGTAGGAGTTCATCGTGTGGATCGCAGTCCAGTACCTCTGTGCAGAATCTGTACGCGATGTCAGCGGGTGTGGGAGGATCACGTTCAGGGCCACGCGTCTCCTACGTATCCCATCTTTTCTTGATAAAATCGATAGCATCTGCGCAGCGGTAGACCTTCTGTGTGTCTACCACGGGATCGTAGCCAGTAACTCTGCGTTGCCAGAAGCTCGCAGGACGAGATAGCTTTGTCTTGCGGGCCGTGAGCATTGCGGGCCATCTGAGATCGTATCCTCAGCACTGTGCTCTCAGCACTGCGCGCACCTAAGAGGGCACTTATATATCCCAAACGATCCTCCAGGCTCAGACAGGACTCGATTTATTCTGTCGAAACGGGTCGCCCAGGAGCAGTATGCTCGCGGCGCAGCAGAGCAGTGCGAGCAGCGACGAGCGACGAGCATACTTGCGCGCTGCCTGGGGTATTAGGGAGGCTGCAAGGTACTGATAAAAGCCTTACTACCGTAAAAGGCTATTCTATTCTATTACTATATCTATTTGTATATACTAAATTCTAATAAAAGGCAACTAGACTAGCAATAAAAGATTCACTATAGCGTATTATATACTATAGCTATAGCAACTTTTTCTAGCAGTATTAGCACCACCCTCCATTACTGGTCTGAGTAGAAACTAGTGCAAAGATAATTCAGTTTGTGCCTAACAACTTGACAGGGATCGCGTTTGCCTCGAACATCTGTGGCTTCCACGAAGCTCGCGACCCGCGTCGACTCTTGTGATTGTCTCATTGTCCGCTTCATTTTCCTCACTTCGACACGGCTAATAGCTGCAGTAATATATTGTGCAGCTAATCTATTTCCTGACCTTCTCCACACTTCGACTCACTATTAGCCAGAAACACCGAAGCAGCCAGGGCAACAAGCATGGCGGATCCGACAATGGACTCTGCCATGGAAATCGACATCGACCTCGACCTCGACCTAGGCGATGATGTCGACCCAGAAGTTGCGCGCATGCAGGAAGAAGCCGCGAGACTCAATGCTGTATGCGACTGGGTATTGACACCGCCAACATGAAGCCACGCTAACTACGCACCGCAGCTTCCTTCTCAAATCGACGCCGAGCCCGAGGCTGAGCAGATGAATATCGAAGACGGCGAAGTACCTCCTGCCGAGATCGCTGCCACGAAAGTACATATACAAGGCCTTGCAGAACTGACAACGCAAGACATCGAGAACTTCGCGCGCGACCACTACGACAGTGAGCTCTTCAGAAAGGTGGAATGGGTGGACGATAACTCCGCCAACCTGATTTACGATACTGCCGAAGCAGCTAAAGAGGCGCTGCAGATTCTCTCGCAAGAACAAGTCGGAGATCCACTAGATTTGAGAGCTGCGAAAGCTTTGAGCACACACCCACATGTTGAGCTTTTCGTGAGACAGGCAGTCGTCACCGACCAGAAGGAGCGAGGTGCTGCCCACCGCAGTGCATTCTACCTGAATCATCCCGAATATGATCCGCTCAACAAGCCGCGAGGTCGTGGACGTGGCGGTAGAGGCGGACGCGGTCGAGGTCGAGGCAGAGGTGGGTATAGGGAGGATGACAGACACAGCCGTCAGAGCTCCAACGCAGAGCCTTTCGACGTCAACCTCTACGACGATGATGCAGAGTCGATGAAGAAGAGAGCAGTACCTCGGAGCCCTCGCCGGAAAGGAAGCTACCACTCAGAAGAAGATTTGTTCGCAGGCAAGAGAGATGGAAGACGGCCGAGGAGAGAGGAAGGAGATCTGTTCGCTGGTAAATCAGATGGCAGACTCCGGAACAGAAGTGCATCGCCGATCAGAGATGGTGATGGCCGCTATGGTTTCAGTGACGACCAGCCATATCGCCACACCGCACGACGACGATCACCTCCCCCAATTCGTCCTCGCTCCCACACCGACAACTACGCTGCTCGCGAAAAGATCAAGACTGAGCTATTTCCAAGCAAGAAGAAGTCTACTGCTTTCACTGATGGCCGCAGCGGAAATGGGGCTCTTGAGCTCTTCCCCGATCGCGAGTCACCACCGGCACAAGGTAAGAATGATTTGTTCCCCGATAAGGTGAACCACAAACGCCAGGATGCTAAGGACATCCATCCGGACGAGGTGGCAAGCGCCATCGGCAAGTTCAATATGTCTCTACAGAAAGAATATATGTCTAATGACGACTCAGGTCGACGACCGGCGCCGGGACGAGATTTATTCTCACGGATCGATGCAGATTCTACATCCGGCAGACTCAACGAGAGACCTTCTTCGAGTGACAACTTCTCATTTAAGGGTGCGAGTCGGAAAGAAGATCAAGGTGTCAGCTTCCTTGGAGCTAGTAAGGAGCGTACGGAACTGTTTCCCAGGGGCGGCAGTGGTGGAGGACGAGATCTCTTCGAGGAGAAAGTACGCCGGCGGCGTGGTGCCGAGCATTTCATCTAGGAGGGAAGGCCGCAACGACGTGGTCGGCCGGTGTACGATACGGAAGATTCTCGGCGACTGTCCTTGTCCTCGCTTGATGCGCATGAGCAGACGATGAACGAGCACCATTCTCTCGAGCTCGAGGAGCAAAGCCACACGAAGCGGTACGAGAGCGCGAATGATCCCATTTCATCCTCGAAAAAGCGAGAAATCTGCTCGACTTTATTAGTTGATCAGAAGGAACAATACAAGCAGTTCCAAGCCGCGAGGACAGCATCTGCAAGGAAGGACGAAATAGATTTTGACATTGATTTACCACCTGACGAGGACCCTTATGAGAAACGGAAGAGAATGACCATGTCTTCCGCGAAGCCTTCCACGAAGCAAGAGCAAATGCACGCTTCTCAGGAAGAGGACCCGTACGAGTGCCGAAGGAGACTTTCATTCATAACCTCAGCACCAACCCGCAAGGACGAGTTTGGCAGAGACTACTCTCGACGCGAGCCTGGCAAGTCCGACATAAGTTGCAACAGCCGGACAGACTCACACCACGAAACTTCAAATATCCATCCTTCACGACGAAACTTGGTCCCGGACTGCAGTAGAAGTCCCTGGAACGAAACCCAAAAGCCCAGAGAGATCGATAGCTATCGTCCAGCTCAGCAAGTTGATCGCTATCGACCAGCACAGCGCGGACGGCGTGAGGACATGGATTACTGCTACTAAGGAAGGCATTCTGATTCTTTTCGACTTGATTGCATTTAGCGTCGGCGCTGGAAAGGAAGGTCTCGCGGTGCGCTACTGCTGCTGCTAAAGCATGAGAACAGACCATGAAGATACCCACGAATTTACAGCTTCAGAGACGGAAAAAATACCGTCATCATCAAATCAAATCCACTCCTCTGCTCTCCATGAATTTTCTCAAAGCTGCAATCTCCACCCCTTTCTCTGCTCGTCTGTAATCATTGCCCATTCCCCCATCATCACCTCCGAACATCTTCTTACCCACATCAAACCCCTCGAACCTTCCCTCCTCTGATTTCATCACCGGAACCATTCCCACCCTTCCATGCGCACAAACAAAAGGAAAAACACATTTCCCCAACTTCCCTACCAACTCCTGACATTCGGATCTCGTCAGCCGATCATTGAACATGATCGCACTCCTACAAGCTCGAGAATTTAGAAGCTGGAGCATGTGAGTTGGCATATTTGGGAGGAAATTCATCCAAGGACCAGAGGGAGGGATGTGGTTTTTCGTGTCGTCGTAGATTTCGGAGCGGAGGAGGTCGATTGTGAGGGTGGGGGTGTTGGAGCAGCGTTCTGCGATGGGGGTTGGGAGGGATGTTATGGTGAGGGTGGTGGTGGTGTGGTGTGATGGCTTTTGGCGGAGTTGTTCTTCTGATGAGGAGGGTTTGAGGTGGTAGTGGATTCCCCAGGCGGCGAAGTGAGATTGGTGTTGTGCGAAGAGGTCGTTTTCGTGGGTGGATATTTCGAAGATTAAGGGTTTGGTGCGTGTTGTGTTTGTTAATTCGGTTGTGTTGATGCTGACGCTGGTTTCGGTGGCAGGTGGTTGGACGTCGCAGAGTTGATCGAATAAGGACTCTAGGATGACACGCTCAGAGGCGGCGTGTTGATCTATGAGCACCAAGGACGTGCCTTTCCCGGCAGAGTCGTCGAGTGTATCCGGTAACTTGGCTAGGATGAACTTCTGGTCAACCTGAGCTATCACACGTGCTTGCTGTAGATCGGATTTGGAGAGTTTGGTACCGGCGCCAGAGCCGTCATTCGTCGTGTTGTACTTCCCATTGTGCGAGCAAAACCTGTTCATTGCCTCATTTTCGAGCAGACCTGGTCCATCAACGGATGCCACTGGGATTGATTCTTCTAGGCGCTGCGCAAAGACTGGATTGTTCCACTCCTTGAGGAACCCTGGCAGCCATGACGAGCCGGGCCTGGAGCATGGGCTATCTTTCGAAAGCGCGCTTCTGCGTGCAAGACTGATTGGCTTGCCAGCTGACGAAAGTGCAGTATCAATTCCTGCTCGCTGGCGTGGAGGTGCGCCGGAGTTTGGACCAACGGAGTGGCTGCCTTGTTGAGCTGTCGACGGCAGAACGACACCAGTCCTCGAGTTGACGCGAAAGAGCTGTTTTGTAGCGGGGTCGGTCCAAGTGACGATGGCGTTGTCTTCAGCGGCGCCATTGCAGTGATCTTCGCCCACGACAGCGTTCGCTGCAGCCAATAGACAATCCTCGTCGACTTCGCCGAAGTCGTCGCTTGGCTGACAGTTGCTCGGTCGAGCTGCTTCTTTTGCAAGTTGAGCCGAAAATGTCTCGCTCTTGTCAGCCCTGCTGTATTGTTCAGCTTCGATGCTAGGTGGTCGAACTCGTCTAGGTGTTTTTGGACGATCCCCTTGAGCAGGTTCCGGTGGTGGACTTCTGCGATGTTTGGCGTCCATGCGGGCTTCACTTGGGCTGGCTTGCTGCACTTGTGTTTGCGGTCTAGGTCTGCCTATTCTGAAGCCACTGACTTTGCTAAGCTCCTGATATCCATGATTGGTGCTTGCTAGCTCAGGCACCAATGACTGCTGTTCGGTTTCCGAAATATCAACAAGCTGACGCTGCTTGCCACCTTGAGCATCAATGTCCGCCTGGCGAAAATGAGCTCGTGAATCGCGTGAGCTGATTGGGTCCAGACTAGAGTCCCGTGAAGTTGATTGCGATTCCGACAAGCGAGTAGACAGCCGAGTAGGTGTGCGGTAATTTTCCTTGTGTCGTCTTCTTCGCTTTCTGGGTCGGAAAAGGTGGCGCTCCAACCAGGCCGTTACTGCAGCCTCCAGAATTTCGGTGAGAGAATGTAGAATGGCTCCACCAAGGGAGTCAGAACTGGCGCTCGACTTGGAGGTACCACTCAGTAATTCGAGCTTGATGAAGTACATTGGGTGGCGATCAACACCCTTCTGGGCTTTGAGCTGCACTAGCGTGGAGTTTCCCTTCTTACTTCGATATCTGCTACCTTCCTCTTCGACAGACGTTTCAGTGCTGCCAAAGCTGCTGTCGAGGAAGACTTTGTTTACGGCGTTGTAGAATTCATTATGCTCGCCAGCACGACTACATGGAGTAATGCCAATCGCAATGAATTGACATTGCTTCGTCGGCGCAGGCTCGAGGGATATCATGCCCTTGAGACGGACGGCGGAAGTGGCAGCTGAGAGAGGGATCCAAGTGCTGCGAGAGTCTGGTGACGCAAAGCCAGCTTGGAACAAGACTGGAAGCACATGGCGGATGTCATGCTTGACAATGTTCCCTGCCAGACTATTCAGGCTCTTCTCCGTCAGTGCCAATGCGTTCGCATTGCTGCTGGACATAGTGACGCTTCTCGCCTTGGCGTTGACATCGCTTAGCTTGACTGTACAGAAGTGCGGCCAAGCGAGAATGAGACTTGTGATGCCTCGTTTGAGCTCGAGCCAGTCTTTGTTGTCGTCGGAAGCGGCGTGTACGGCAAGAGCGCGCTGCTTAACCCTCACGGGCATGCTGCCAAAGAGGTCCCGAACAGATATGCTCGTACCATGCCGCTGATGGAGGGCAGAGAAGCCCGATGTTTCACCGGGCTTGGCATCACGCGCAATGACCTTAGCGTGATGCAGGGTGAGAATGGAAGTGGTCGCGTCTGCCTCGTGCGTTGAAGTGATGCATAGGAGGGACAAGGCCGCAAGCTCTGCCAAGAATGTTCCGGTTGAGCCATGCGTGGCGTAAATGGGGTGCGGACTTCCACGATGCTTCGAGGTACAATAAAGCTTGCCCAGTCCTCCATTAGGGTCAAATTCTGAGGAGTGTATTCCAACGCCATTATCGTCAAGTGTGCAGCCAGCTCGTCTCCAGTCAACGGAGATGTCAATCCTGGTGGCTCTAGCATCGAGACTGTTTTCCAGCAAAGAGAGCACAACATGCGTCAAGGAGGTGACATGCTTGGATGAGCGAACTTGGGAGACGGCCTCGGCGGTTAAGGGTAAGATACGTTGGGCTGATAATGATGTTGCATGGACGAGCCCGTCGTCTCCTGAGCTCATGGTGGCAGCAGTGGCATTGCGTAATTGATGCTGAGAAGGGGCCGTATTCCAAGAAGCCACGGTCTTTCTGGAGCGTCCGAGAAAATTGAGTGGCGCCGGTGTTGAGCAATGGATGGATGGCAGATGAGGCTGTCTGCAGTGACGTCGAGAACTACATAGAGCCCAGCCCAGCACGTGGAACGAGCCGGGGTTGGTGTCGTTTCTTCATGCAGGGACATTATCAGGCCAGCGAGGAAAGCGCCGAAGCCTGCTTGCGCCGTCTTCTCGTTCTGCTACTGCAACTACACGCACTCTTCCACCACCGAGCGACTCCGTCCTGCAGCCGTTTCCATAATCGACTTCTGCTGTAGAGGCGCACGCGAGGCTAGAAGGCCGGCCGCCTGAGTCCTAACGCGACACCTGGTCTCAGCATTGTCTCGGCGTAGCGAGCCAGCAGGAGAAGGGGTACTTCACCATCAAGCGCGTGGGAGCTGGACTGAGAATCAGCGTGCTCTGACCCACGCCCTCTCCTCCTTTGCCCGCACCCCCCATTGACCAAGTCTGCCTGCGCAATCCCCGAAGCTGCCCGTATTGTCGGAATTCGCCAAGACTGCCGAAGGCGAGTCTGAGATAGGACTAGGAGGCAGCTCCAGGAACGCGGCAAAGATGGCTACCGCTGAGCTTGCTCGACCACAAGGTGAGAAATCGCAAAATTCGCAGCTGCCCCATTCGAGCATGCCACGGCACTGCAGAGCGAGCGTGGTCATCGCTGACTTCTGTAAAGAGCAGCCGCATCGGCGGAAAGGACCCTTCGCGAGTGTCATGAAGCGGCTTGGCTTGGGAAAGAACAACCAGCAGGAGAAGCAGGACAAGAACAGTAAAAAGGCCCACGGCAGCTCACAGAAGCACAAGAAAAACAACACTTGCGCGGGGAAAAACAACCCATATCCACTGTCCGGCCATCTGCGACAGCCTCAGCACGACAGCCAGCCCTCATTTGGTGCGTCAGCGCGCGAGCCATATGAGAACAACTCGTCGTACGCCTCCTTGCCAACAGCCTCTGTGCACGATCGTGAGCGCCACAGTCACAGCAACAAGAGCGGAGCGCCTACTCTGGCAACAAATCCCGAGACCGTGCACAGCGATGCCGGCCATAGTCGAGCTGTCACCACATCAACTGGCGCGGGCGCCCTCAGTAGCATCGATGGTGCCGGAGCCAACAGCACATTCAGCTCGCCCAATCACAGCGACCATTCCTTGGCCACCACTCTGACCACCATTCAATCAATGTCCAATGGCCCCAACCCTGCGAATGGCGTGTCTGGTCAGCATCACAATCAGCAGAGTCAGCCCAATGGCACCATGTTCAGCCATCAGTACCCAGTCTCTCCAGCACCTTCGGCAATGACTGCCTCGGCTATTCCGCGTCATCTCCATAACGATACCAATGCGCCAGTCACATACAACTCGGCGACCGCCAACAACCTGTTGACCGATAATGCGAGTATCCTCACCCTCGCCTCTTCGTCCAAGCGGCGCAGAAGAAGCATGGACACAGACGCTTCTGTCCGAGCCATTGCACCTGGCTCGCTCTTCGGAGGCAGTCGCGAGTCTCTGCCATTGAGCGTACTTAGCGGAGGCGTTGATGGCACTCGCCAGTCCATCGGTGGCATGCCGGGAACCGCGTCTGCTGAACGTGCCAGTGTCTACTCTTCCTCTGGCCTTGCTCGCGAGATTGCAGGCCCTGCTCTGGCCTCCGAGCGCAACTCGTCCTACTCAAAAGCTGCCGATGCCAAATCTCTGCGCTCTGTATCCAACATCAAGGACGATGCGCGGTCGCAGTACGATGCGAGAAGTCTACATGATGTGGCCAGTCTGCGAAGCTTCGACACTCGGGACAAGGATGGTCATCACGCCCGTAACGGTAGTATCCCGGGAAGTATTGGCAATCCTGTCAACACGCCGAGTCTGCTTCGTCAGTCCAGTCTAGGCGGTTCGCTCGATCCACGTCGCAGGAGCAGCGAGTGGGAGCACGATAAAGAGAATGATGCTGATGGCAAGAAAGCAGAGTAGAGTCTGCGGAAATTATGATGAGAGATGCGCCACGTTTTCTTGAGATGCCTGAAAATGTATTTTGGCGCTTTAGGAGTTGGAACTACCGGCCAGCACATCGGGCGAGGAGCGATCGTGAATTGTATGGATCAGAGATACCCCAACATTCAGCTTGCGCTGCTTAGGACTTTGCATTAGCTCTTGGAATGAGACACTCGTTCATCTTGACCTCCTTCGGGGGTGGACGGTATCGCGCTGTTCAGTGATAACATCTTTGGCTGGGTGAAGACCACCACTATCCAAGTATCCAGGGCATTGACACCAATTGATACGGGTCAGATGGTGGGCAAGATTGAAACTGACCAAAAATTACAGAGGTGGGGCCTCAATTGAACATCTGACGCGCTTCTTTCGACCACGGAATACTCCCGAGGACCTCAACGATCAACGCAATTAGCGAGATCTCGGTCAAAGCTCTCCTGTGCACGATGGTATCAATCGATCTTTTTATGCTCATGAAAGAAGGAGTTGCGAAGCGCAAGTTTGGCATTAACAACAAAACTCTCTCATCCGGCGACGTCGCTCATGCGGTAGATTCTTGCCTCATCAACAATTGGATCATTGATCGTGCAGTTCACAGTCTGGGAAATTTCGGCAGAAGCACTCGTCAACTCTCCGATGGGATCATATCGTAAAATGATTGACAAGGAGCTCGCAATTTCCCATCCTCGTCGCAAACTCAGAGTATGTACCGAAAGCAGAGGTGTTCCTGGCTTTTACCAGGTACCGTGGCTGAACTTAAACGTCAAAGCTCGGGCCAATACCACCATCACCACCAATACCACGACCTTGTATCTGCCTCTCGACCTCATCTTGAAGGGATACATGCCCTACTCGCGAAATGGGCCGCAAGAATGCCGTGATCGATTGGTCTAAACGACCCTCAGGCCGTCGACTTAGACTGGAGTTTGTGCAGGGCAATTGCATGCATTGTTGGGAGAGGGCTGAAGCGAATCCTGGGTACATGAAATGGGTATTAAGAGGAGTGGACGACCTTCCAACACGTTCCTTTGGCTCTTTACGTCCGCTCTTGCTCCTGCGACTTGCCACGCGTCACGCCCGACCGCTGTCACTCTTTCGAGACCCACCACGCTCATTAGCTCGACGCGAACACACGAAGAAGTAGTCTTCAGACACGACGATCAAATACTTGTCGTCGCATACTTCAGCCTAATAAGCACAACAAGTACGTCAACTCGGCTCATCAGGGGGTCAATCAAACGAATCGCCAATCTAACATATCGCCACAGCCACAACTTCGATCAAGATGCAGTTCACAGCCCTCTTCACCACCCTCCTCCTCAGCTCCGGTCTCGTCACCGCGCTCCCAGTCCTCGACGAACTCCTCGCCCTGGGCGGCAAATACCAGCTCAAAGGCGATGACTACTACAATGGTCAACTAAACCAGGCGGGCAACTACAACCTGTGGAACAAGTACAAGCTAGAATTCTTGGGAAGCGACATCTTGAAGAAGAAGAAGCAGTAGAGAGTTAGCACTGATCTCTACCCCCGGGAAGGACTTGGGACTTGGGAATGGGAGTTGGGCTCGCCGACAGAGATACACAAATTTTTTTTGCTGTGTGTTGTTATACTTACGTTCGTAATGAAGGTTACGTGCCTGTAATGGACTGCAAAGATAACATGACTACCAACTGATTGCCATGCCTCCTGTATGTAGTAAGTATGTAGGTAGTTTCGAGTCCTCTCTTTGATTGGTCTTATTCATTTATACTCATGATCTGTCGGCGCTATCTTCATTGAAGGCTCTCAATTGGTACTAGCTAGAGACCAAGAACTTGTATCCCAAAACGCCATGATCCAATCAATGCTGAGTTACTACTAGAAAACATTCGTTCATCTCGTTCAATACCCTTAATGACCATTCGTAAGCCCATTAATCACCCCCTTCCCATTCCGTGCCTGCTCCCCTCCCCCAAAATTCAAATCCTCCTCAAACTCCATCTGAATTGCAATCACCTGCTCCAACTTCGCCCGATCCAACTTCTCCCCACGAAACTGCGCCAGACTCTTCGCCGTCCGAATAACATTCTTGATCTGCCGACCATTGAGATCAGCCTCGGCCAGAGCCGCGAAACCTTCCTCTTCAATCCCCCCAACACCGGAATCATTCCGGAGGAAATGTTTCCAAATCTTAGTGCGAGATTCGAGAGTGAGGTCATTATACTTCAGGGGCACGTGGATGCGAGATTTGAACGCGTCGTCGAAAGTGTTGACGCGGTTGGAGGTGAGGAAGAGGATACCTTCGTAGTATTCCAGGACACGGAGGAAGATGGAGACGAGGGAGTTGCGCTCCATGTCGTGGAGGGAGCGGCGTTCGAGGAAGACGTCGGCTTCGTCGATTAGGAGGACGGCTTTCCAGGTTGAGGCCATGTCGAGGATGCGGGTGAGACGGTCGTCGAGGGCTTCGGAGTTCGTGCCTAGGTCGCCCGAAGATACCATGTAGAGGGGACGTTGGACGAATTCGGCGACCGTCTCGGCTGTGAGGGTCTTTCCCACGCCTGGTGGGCCGTGGAGGACCATGATGAGACCACGGCCTTTGCCCTTGACGATGTCGTCGAAGTCGCTTCTCTGCTGGACGTGATTGGCGACTAGGGCCTGGACAAGGTCTTTCTGTGCAGCGGGAAGTACAAGCTGGTCGAAGCAGTTTGGGTTCCAGCCAGGTGGCGACAGCTTGTCTACAAAGAACTCGAACCACCTCTTCTCGGTGAAGGAGAAGCCTCGCACAGTGGCGCTTGCCAGTAGGCACTGGTCGTCGGTCAGAGGGTCGAGATCGAGCTTGTCGGTAGGCAGCAGCTCAGTGTCCTCCTCTTCGTAATCGTCATCGTCATCGTCATCGTAGCGATGGATTCTCGGTACGTGAGGACGCTTACGACGCCTGTCTTCCCTGGACTTAAATTTGTTGACGGTGAAAGCTCGGTTGCCGTTGAGGCGGTGCCAAGTCTTGGTGTCTACAACAACTCGACCATCCGTATTGAAGCGAGAGATGCCACATGGAGTGTATTCAAGGGCAATACCGCTGTAGTGATGGAAGTGCATGCCAGCGAGCTTTTCGAAACGCCTGCCACGCTCAATGAGTGACTTCTTGGCCGCAGCATGATTTGCATGAAACTCGAAAGGATAAGCTTCAAGCTCGCCAATCGGCTCTGCACCAGGGAAAGGCATGATCTTCTGGACACCAGTACGTGTGCCGAACTCATCGCCATCGAAGTCGACGAATTCGGTGTGCAGGTGCAGGCCTGGGTCCTGAACGTTGCAAGAGTATAGGTAGGAAGAGACCTTGAAAGCACGAGGTTGGCCAAAGATCGAGCCGTGAAAGACCATGCCGGGCCTGAAGAGTGTCCAAAGGTGGTGATAGGACATCAGACCTTTCTCTTTCAAGTTGTCACTCTCTTTGATGGTCTCCTGGAACTCCTCATGAATGAAGTCCAGTAGGAGGTCAAGGTGAGCGGCAGCTTCCTCAGACTCAAGATCTTTGCCTGCTGCCTCAAGCTCATCCTTGTAATGGTACAGAACGCGGTATGGAGCATCGATGGTGATCTCCGTGGTCTGGAATGAGATGCCAGGGAAGCTGGGAATGGTGTCTCGTAGCATGTCCTTCAAGTACTGCGAGTTGACCTGCAAGCTTGTCTTCGTGACGTATTTGTTGGTGTTATCCATGTGCCGCACAAGACACAAGGCAAACTTGCCCCACCAGTTGATCTGGTCTGGTATCTCCTCGTCGATTGTCTCGGCATAATAGACTGCTCCTTGCTCGGTGTGCTTGCGATCGATGTGCTTGAGCTTGGCCTGCATCTCGCCCTCTTCGATCTCTTTGAGTTTCTGTGCCTCGTCTTCACCGATGTCCGGGTTCTCGACAATGGTGCCGTTGGCGCCGCTGTTCCTGCTGCGGCGTGCCGATTGCATGGTGCGTGCCATAAGATCTGCTTTTGGATGATCAAAGTCAAAGTCTTCAAGAGCAGACGATAAGTAGCCGCTGTCAGATCGATACAGGGTGGGAACAGTGGACATCAGAGAGAGGAACAGAAAGGGAAAGAGAAGGGATTCTTATACTTGGTTGAGCAGCTCACTCTGCCTGCTGTATACATGTAAGAAAGCGGCACGGTTGCCTGCGTCCTGATGCAGGAGGAAATGAGTCCAGCTTGACTCACTAAGTGAGCTGCGCGGTGTACCATTCAGGTGATCGCTGTCGGGTCGCATCAAAATCCCCAAACATCATACCGCAAACCGCTCAGCCTCACGCTTATCGATAACGACATCTGCTGAGAAGACTGGACGTCGAAGATTGTGCAGCGATACGGCACGTGCCTGATAGTGATGAGCCGCCCCTTATCGATAGAGGAGCGAGATCTCGCC